GGAGAAATACCATTTTTGTATAGTACCATACGCAATTTGGATCTATCTATGGAATCAAAGGCTTTGCCAAAATCAACAAACAAGGCATAAATCACACCTCGTTTCTTAGCCAAATATTTCTCTATTACTGAATATAAAACAAAAATATTATCAGTTGTGGAATATCCACTCCTAAAACCAGCCTGAGACTCTACTGGTCTATCATAGGATTCCGACCAAAACTGAAGTCTTCTGTTTAAAATAGAAATATAAAGTTTACTGAATACACTTAAGATAGTGATACCCCTATAATTAGTGGGAGAATTGGCATCGCCTTTCTTATATATAGGAACAATGTGGCCAACAGCCCAAGATGAGGGAAAATATGCAGAATCAAATATAGCATTAAAGAAGAATGTCAAAAAAGGAACCAGAACATCAGGAGAAGACTTAAACATTTCTGCTATCAGTCCATCATCTCCAGCAGCTTTATTATTTTTCAATCCTGTAATCGCATCAAGCACTTCATCCTGTGAAATAGGGGAATCAAGAATACTCTGAGTTGTTTCGTCAAAATTAACATCGTCAAAAACTAAATTCTCCTCAACCTCTGAAGAAGAGTATTCACCAAATAAGTTCTTAAAGTGCTGATACCAATCTCCTAGTTCTATATTAGGAGAGCGTCTCCTTCCCTCACCAGAGAGTAGCTTCAATTGTGACCAAAATATTTTGCTGTTGTGTATGCCTGTCACCATATTACTAAGAATTTTATCTTGGTAGGCTTTTCTTTTGTTATGGAGTATATTTGTATATTTATTTCTTGCATGTAGATAGTTTGAAAGTGCCAAATGATCCCCAAGTAGTCTATAAACTTTAAGCAGTCTTTGCTTTTCAAATCTAAGAAATTCACACTCTTTATCAAACCAAGGTTGTTTATCGACTAACCAAGCAGATGGGCAAAACTTATGCATACATTCTGCTGCATTACCTAATAAATCTGAGAATAAAGTTACAGCATCATCAAATTTTCCAGATAAAATATGTTCATTACACTGATCAAACACTGAAGCTGACTTGTCAGAAAGTAATACATCTCTAAATGTTGACACTTTATCTTCATTCCACACATAACGGGAGTTGTCACGCACATCTCGTGCATTACATAAGCTAGCACCCACAGAAGCCATATCACGTGACACAAATTCGTAATACCCTGTACTGAGTTGACAGCACGCACGCACGCACGCACGCACGCACACACACACACACACACACACGAACACACACACACGAACACACACACACACACATAAACACGCACGCACGCACGCACGCACGCACGCACGCACGCACGCACACACACACACACACACACACACTCATCACTCATACATACACACGAATACACACGCACACACGTAAACTCTCAATACCGAGAGCTTTGCGAAATGTCTAGTGCTCACGTTGTTTCCAGTGTTGTCAGTCTCTGTAATATCCTGTACAGAGTTGACAACGCCCCCCCCCCCCCCCCCACCCCCCCACCCCCCACCCCCACACACACACAAACAAAAGCACACATAAACACACACACACACACACACAAAAAACACCAAAAAACCACCTAACATTCACACATCCATACACACACTCACACATAAACACACTCTCACACAAACTCACACATAAACAAAACACATATACACACACTGACACATTCAAACACTCAAACACGCACACACAAACAAACACACACACACAAACACACACACACAAACACACACACACACACACACACACACACACACACACACACACACAAATATCACCGGTTTATCACTTCAATTGTCTATGCACCCAATTTAAGAGTGAGTGAGTGAGTATGGTTTTACGCGGCTCTGAGCAATATTTCAGCAATATCACGGCGGGGGACATCAGAAATTGGCTTCACGATTTGTATTCATGTCGGGAATCCAACCCGGTGTCTTCTGCGTGACGGGCGAACGCTTTAACCACCAGGCTACCCGCGTGTATGAACATCGTACCACGCAATTGGGATACAATTACATGCATCAACCAAGTCAGCGAGCCTGACCACCCGATCCCGTTAGTCGCCTCTTACGACAAGCATAGTCGCCTTGTACGGCAAGCATGGGTTGCTGAGGGACCTATTCTACCCCCGATCTTCAGGGGTTACAACAATCGTAGTTGCCTTAGTTTATTCAGGCGAGCTCAGGACGTAGGAATGCTGTGCTTAACTTAGGTATATTGTGATTGTGGGAAGACATTGTTGCTCTTATTTATTTAATTATTTAACTAGAAGAACTATATACGTGTAACGGCTCCCATACGGCATCCCGAGAGTATTGTTTTGCATCGTTTGTAGGGAAATAACAGCAAAATATGTGACAATAAATCACAAAGTTTCCCTAACGACCCATTATATGTCCGTCGGATTGGGTAACAAACGTCTCAGAATTTCAAGAGCTTTCCAACGAGCCATCATGCACTAAAATCGCTTAATATTTAAGAAAAATGTGTTTTTCACCTGTCCAGCAAAAGGACTTCCAAGTCAACGATGAAGAACGAAGCGTGGTTTATTTAGGAGATGCCGTGTTTTGAAATTTGATGTTGTCCCACTGTGGAGTATTTTCTTATTTTCATTTGGAACCGAGCTCTTTAATGTATAAATAAGAGGTATCTACTCTACAGTGGGACTACATCAAATTACAAAACACAGTAGGTTTATCTCCATTCTACCATGACGGCAACAACGCTTTGAAAACGGTGCTCTCTTGCAACGCGTAACAATAGTACCTTCCGAAAAGGGGCCACAGGTAGTCACATAAGTAGCAAACATTACCAATGTTCAACATTAAAATACCCATAATCTTGAGAAGTTCAAAATAAGTGTTCAAAACACATAGTTTTTCAAAAAGAAGTTGACAAATAACCCCCAAAACACAGTCGAAAGATAGATATTTTAATTTCATCGCAACCTGCTGCGTACTGTTTGGACTCACCGATTCATTTCCTTGAATTCAGCGAGAGAAGTCATTTCTTGTAAATAGAATATTCCATCGTAGGGGTGACAGGTTGTAGAAAAAGTTTTAAAAATGCTAAGTGAATATATATTTCTAGATGAGTGAATAAAAAAATAGTGGTTACCCAATGAAAAATGTATAAACCCAACTAAAATAGAAACCCTGGAGTAAAAACTCAATTGCTCAAAACGTTATCTGGAGCTTGGAGTGTATTAAAAATTACAAGAATCACAAGCATGGTAATTGAAGCAGTTTGGTACATAAGCCGTGATAATTTGCGGATAGAACAGTTTGACCTATCACCGTTTGAGATTATCCATCTGTAGCAAAAGGTCAATGTATACGGTGGTATTCTGACCCTGGATGTTGTACACAACAGTGAGTTGGTGCAATCAATGCGACCTGTTTACTCACGATTTCGTGCGAAATTATTGTGAACACTATTTATGGTGTATAACGAACACGCTTATAACGAACTGACGGATATAACGAACTGTTTTTTTGGTCCCGTCCATGTGCTGTATTATGCTGTATATATGCTTATAACGAACTACGGTTATAACGAACTAAATTTAGTACGCCCCAGATCACGGCTTGCGATTACCTTTTCCTGATGGTACCATGGGTGTTTTTTGTCCATCTGTCGATAGCCACATGTAGTCAGTGTAGTCCTCAAGGTAAATGATCTGTAAGCCCTGACTGTAATAGTTATGAATGGTGCGGAGATAATGTTACCTCATAGACAGGATGGAATATTTCCCCCTGAAAACTGCCTGGCGATCGGGGGTACCTTCTGCTCATAAAGCTTGTACACTATACACCTAGTCATCCTGTATCAAAGCTGTCTGATATCCTTTTTACGTCGCGGTTGAGTTTTTGAGCCGTAGACTTGATGGTATGAACTGAAAACCCCATAGCTTTGGCAGTTCGGTAATTTACCCTATCTAAACTAATAAATAGTCCCGTCTAGTTCTCTAAAGTGTAAAGAACTCGTATGAATTTCCCAGTACAGACTCCATGTCGTGCACCGTGGCTGTGGCCATGCAAGTGTAATGTAACATGCATCATGGGAGCAATGTTGATAAAACAAACGCAGCGTCATTTTGTTATTTTAGAAGATGCACATCTAGAATTTTCTCCATGTGATTATTTTGTGTTGATAAGTTTTCGGGAGACTACATAATTATCATTAAATCGGAGTCACGTGTGCATATTTCTATAGTCCGTTTTAGACTGCCATCATTGGACTTAATATGAACTATGTCTTCGTTCGAAGTTTTCTCCTGTAAACTTGTCGATAGGGATCCTTGAGACCGAAATACTTCCAACCATAGGTTGGTCGATCGGTAGTTATTTGATATTTCAATAGCAACAGTCTGTGAAAATATCTATCCTCTTTTAACGGACAAAAGGGCGTTCGGGTAGCCTAGTGGTTAGAGCGTTCGCTCGTCACGCCGAAGACCCGGGTTCGAATCCCGACATGGGTACAATGTGTGAAGCCCATTTCTGGTGTCCCCCGCCGTGATATTACTGGAATATTGCTAAAAGCGGCGTAAAACCATACTCACTCACTTAACGGACAAAAAGCATTTTTCCAGCATTTCCGACAGTACTTTTTTTTTAAGTGTCGTGAGTAACGAACTATAAATACAACAAACTGTGTCCGTGCCCCTTGGATTTTATTATATGTACGTAAAAAAAAGTACACACTCATGTTTGATGGGGGCTAAAAATGAAACTAACAAAAAATGGTAATTCGATGTTATTTGATACGGGAATCATGGAGAGGTCGCCCCGTGAGCATTCCGGATCAGCACAGGTCCGCAGCTGGTCCAATATCTTGGTCGTTAGGTTGGTTCGGTTGGTTTGTTGTTTAACGCCGCACTCAGCAATATTCCAGCTATATGACGGCGGTCTGTAAATAATCGAATCTGGACCAGACAATCCAGTGATTGACATCATGAGCATCGATCCACATGCATCAACCAAGTCAGCGAGCCTGACCACCCGATCCCGTTAGTCGCCTCTTACGACAAGCATAGTCGCCTTTTACGGCAAGCATGGATTGTTGAAGACCTATTCTACCCCGGAATCTTCACGGGTCCTTGGTCGTTAGGGGCGAGTACATGTATCGGGGGTCCTGATCGGTGGCTGCTTGTCCTCGTAACCCACCGTGGATCGTTTCTCACAATACCAGCCACTGGATTGTCTGGTCGAGGCTTGATTCATTACAGACCGCCGTCATACAGCTGGACTATTGCCGAGTGCGGCGTTAAACAACAAACAAACAACGAAGAGACGACGGAAGACAGACCAGGTAAAGTGAAAATTGAATGTAGTTATATGATTTTGATCATGTACGTCATGGGATTCGAACCACGGACCTTCTGATCCGAGGTCGGACGCCTTGTCCACATGACCAAAGAGGTTAACCCCGTCAGCAAGCTGACAAGGTAAGGATGTCATCTGTTGGATGACTCCACGCCCTGCTACATATGGTTGTTTAGTTCCGTGAAACACCGACCATCTTGTTGTATCACACAGCCCCATGTCGCTATATGGCTGATATAATGCCGATGCGACGCTAAATTTTAACTCACTCACTCCAAGCCCCGTACGACGCCTCGTAGATTTCGTGCCTGTGAGATAAATCAATGTCACTGGAACGCATTGACATCTGCACGTGCATCACATGAAACACGTGCATTACAAACCTGCACGTGTCCTCGCTGCATGGAACAAATGTGTCCTTGAAAGAAAGTCTTTCATCAACGAAGAAATGCATCAGACTTTACTGCTAATATGTAATTTTTCTTAAGTCTCGTTCCATGTGTTGATGGTATCAGCGCGCTTTGAAGTAGGTCAATGGACACCGTTTTGAACCAACACTACGTGGCACGTTTCAGAAACATCTTCAAGGATTGAAATAAAGAGTTCTCGACGTCAACCTCGACGTCACGCTGCTGCTACTTCCGCTGTTTGGTCTGGTTGTCGACAACTCAGATCTGTTAAAAAAACATTTGAACAATAAAGGAATTATTTCTGAAATAAAAACAAATTGTTTTGCAGCGAAAATTGTTTTTGAAGAAAATGTTTATGTTGTTTTTTATGCGTGTTTTTTAAAGAATGTTTACTGTTTTCGGTGACAGATTAAAATATGTTCTCAGGACCGTGGTCCTGTGGTAGAGCGTCTTCCCGAATAGCGGAAAGTAGGGGTTCGATCCCCGGCCGCGTCGAACCAAAAGACATTAAAAGATGGTACTTGTTGTTACCCTGCCTGGCGCTAGGCATTAAGGGGCTAAAACAAGGACTGGTCGGCTCGGAGTCAGTATACTGTGTCTGCGTGGGGTATTCATGTTAAACTGCGGCATGGTATCTCAGTGGGCTAGCACTATCAAATCGGCATCAGTCCGGACTAGTACAAGCAGCCACACAAACACACACACACACACACACACACACACACACACACACATACATTGAAACACATGTAAAATATTCTATCGTAATGATTTGGTTGGTTGGTTGGTTGGTTGTTTTACGCCGCACTCGGCAATATTCCAGCTGTATGACGGCGGTCTGTAAATATTCGAGCCTGTCTAGACAATCCAGTGATTGACATCATGAGCATCGATCCACCAAATTGGGATACAATGACATGCATCAACCAAGTCAGCGAGCCTGACCACCCGATCCCGTTAGTCGCCTCTTACGACAAGCATAGTCGCCTTTTACGGCAAGAATGGGTTGCTGAAGACCTATTCTACCCCGGATCTTCACGGGTTGCTTATTGTGAGGGGGGGGGGGGGGGGGGGGGCCTTTGACGTTTGATGTATACAGCGAAGCGGAAATAAAATATATACGATTTATTTATTTATTTTTAAAATTTAAATTGTGCGAGTCGTGAGAGCTAGTGGTGCAGCGGGACGTGTTCACGGTTATAGCTCGCTCATTGGGTCACCATTGATATACAGTGATACATTCATGGACAGTAAAGTACGGTTATAACGAACTCAAAGGGACTACTAATTTTACTTCGTTATAACAGTAGTTCGTTGTAAGCATATATACAGCATAACTACAGCAAATAGTCGGGACCAAAAAAGTATGTTCGTTATATCCGTCAGTTCGTTTTAAGCGTGTTCGTTATAACCGTAGTTTACTGTAGTCAACACTGATTTGCCCTTTACGCCTCATGGATCATCGACACTGATTGTTCACTTGCGTTGAGTGTTCGATCCCCGGCCACGTCATACCAAAAGACGTTAAAAGATGGTACTTGTTGCTCCGCATTAAGGGGCTTAAACAAGGACTGGTCGGCTCGGAGTCAGTATACTGTGTCTGAGTGGGGTATTCATGTTAAACTGCGGCATGGTATCTCAGTGAGCTAGCACTATAAATCGGCATCAGTCCGGACTAGTACAAGCAGCCACACACTGACGTGCATGCACGTCGCTATATAAGTGCAATAATCTTGGACGCGACGTTAAACCCAATTTCACCTCACCTCACCTCACTTGCGTTGACCTTTTAAAATATATTCTGGAGATATTTAATGAAGCGCACATACAATATATCAAACCCCTCTATGAATTTTATTTTTGGTTTGTTTCATGATGAAATCTGGCCAAATATTCCAGCTATAAATCTGTGATCGATTTCAAGAGCAACGTCACACGTCGCAAACCAATTACCAAGATTGACTAACCGTTCCATTAAGCAACTAGCACAAGTTGCCGGGGACCAATGCTGTTCCAAAGTGAATTACAATCGTTTAGTTATGTCAATAACACTGTTGATATAACAGTACAGACTTAAAAAGCGTGTAGCATGTACGTATTCATAAACCATCATGTTGATGTAACAGTATTACCTTAGCAAGCGACCCGTGAAGATCATTGGTAGAATAGGTCTTCAGCAACCCATTCTTGCCGTAAAAGGTGACTGCTTGTCGTAAAAGGCGACTAACGGGATCGGGTGGTCAGGCTCGCTGACTTGGTTGAAGTATGTCATCGATCCAAGTTGCGTGGATCGATGCTCATGATATCAATCACTGGATTGTCTGGTCCAGACTCGATTATTTACATACCGCCGTCATATAGCTGGAATATTGCTGAGTGCAGCGTAAACCAACCAACCAACCTAACAAAGCTGTAGCATGTACGTGTTCATTACGTTCGGCAGTCACATATGCTATCTTATGGGTTTTGTGCAGTGAACCTATATTTCTTAAAAATATTTTTACCAGACAGATTATCTGACACATTATCAATATTATTTTGAACACAGATATGGACTTATATTCACGGATATGTACAGACACAATAAATACAATGTTGCACATTTTACATATACATCTCGTATTGACATTTACAGATGAGCTGGGGGCACGGGAGGCCCAGTCGTCTAAGGCGACGCGATTCGCTGTGCAGAGTTGCGTCCCTTGGGCACGCCAGAAACCTATGATTGTGGGTTCGAATCCCGGTTCGCCCCGATTAGGTTTCTAGGTTTGTCAGCACCATACCCGTGCTCGTGGGTTTCATCGAAGTGGTAAACGTCTGAGACCTGCATCACTTCGGGCTTTCCTCCCACATTAAGCTGACACGCCGTGATATAACTGGAATACTGTTAAAAGCGCCGTTAAACCCAACTCACTCACTCACTCACTCACTACAGATGAGCTACCACCCACCTTTCTGGCTGTCTGTTGCAGACTCGACCTGGGCTGCTCTGTGAAAGATGTAGATGGAAGACGGTTGATCATATAATTTCATTTCATACATTTCGAAACTTTGTAACTGTGTTGACATACACTTGTTTACTTCGGAAATGCGTCTGTGAAAAGTTAAAGATATACATTGGCAGGAGTACATTGAACATATATGTTCTATGCATCCATAAAGACATGTTCTACTGCGTCATAACATTTGTTTGTTTGTTTGTTGTTTGACGCCGCACTCAGCAATATTCCAGCTATATGACGGCGGTCTGTAAATAAACGAGTCTGGACCAAACAATCCAGTGATTGATATCATGAGCATCGATCCAAGCAATTGGGATCGATGATATACTTCAACCAAGTCAAAGAGCCTGACCACCCGATCCTGTTAGTCGCCACTTACGACAAGCATAGTCGCCTTTTACGGCAAGCATGGGTTGCTGAAGACCCACGGGTGTCGTCACGACAAACAGAATCAGACAGCCATTTCACAAAAGTTGCAGAGATTTCATATGATAATGGAAATGGCTCAGTGCTCTTAAAATGTACCATGTGCCTTTAGACCTACAGTATAACTGAACTAGACATACAGTAAACTACGGTTATAACGAACACGCTTATAACGAACTCAAAGGGACTACTAATTTTAGTTCGTTATAACCGTAATTCGTTATAGGCATATATACAGCATAACTACAGCACATAGTCGGGACTAAAAAGTAAGTTCGTTATATCCGTTAGTTCGTTATAAGCGTGTTCGTTATAACCGTAGTTTACTGCAATTGTAATGGCAAAAAAATTATATTCTACATGATATGATGCTTATGCAGGTTCTATAGGGTTAGGGTTAGGGTAGGGTAGGGTTAGGGTAGGGTAGGGTTAGGGGTAGGGTTAGGGTTAGGGTTGGGTTAGGGTTAGGGTAGGGTAGGGTTAGGGTAGGGTAGGGTTAGGGTTAGGGTTAGGGTAGGGTTAGGGTAGGGTTAGGGTTAGGGTAGGGTTAGGGTTAGGGTAAGGGTAGGGTTAGGGTTAGGGTTAGGGTAGGGGTAGGGTTAGGGTTAGGGGTAGGGTTAGGGTAGGGTTAGGGTTAGGGTTAGGGTAAGGGTTAGGGGTAGGGGTAGGGTTAGGGTAGGGTTAGGGTTAGGGGTAGGGTTAGGGTTAGGGTAAGGGTTTGTGTTAGGGTTAAGGTTAAGGTTAGGGTTAGGGTAAGGGTTAGGGTTGGGTTAGGGCTGGGTTTGTGTTAGGGTTAGGGTTAGGGTAGGGTTAGGGGTAGGGGTAGGGTTAGGGTTAGGGTTAGGGCTGGGTTTAGGTTAGGTTAGGTTAGGTTAGGGTTTATAACCCTATATCCCATATCTATGCCAGGTCAGCTTGTCAGCTTGGTCACAGATTGAAGTATGTTTGCGTGAGGAGAAGCTGTTTTATACTCACTCAGTCACAATGTCTGGGTTCACTGCAAGAGAAAAAACAACGTTCGAAACACAATTCTTCTGATTGGGACACAGAAAACCTAAATATTATCATGAACGAGGCTTCCAAAAGCCTATATAGTTCATGATTACGCAGAGAATCCTACTAAAAATAGCATTTATTGAAAATATTAATCAAAAGAATAACTAACTCAGAGCTCCAGATAACTTTTTTAGCAATTGAGTTTTTACTCTAGGATTTCTATTTTAATTGGGTTATTACATTTTTCATTGGGTAACCAATATTTTTTCACTCATATATTCATCACTCTATTTAGGTTTACCCAACATTTTAAGATTTAAAAAAATGAAATAATATTTTAGATGTATATAACTATTCTAAATATAGGCTTGACTCGGAAAGTAAATTAGCTCCTTTGTATGCATGCTCTATTGGGTTTTTACCAAAATTAGTGAACATTTTTAGATTTTAAAAAATGAAATAATGTTTTAGAAGAGTATGACTGTTCTAAATATATAGGCTTGACTAGTAAAGTAAATTTGCTTTTCATCGTTTTTCTGAAATTAGCTCCTTTGTACGCATGCTGAAAAAGCTTCATTGGATATTTACGCTGCTGTTCTTATACATTTGAGTTTTTCATTTAATGCATGCGTTTCTGTAAATTGAAAGTAATTGGGTTATGAATATTTCTGGGGGTACGTTACGTAAATACGCTGCTTATCTGTAGCTCTTATTAGAACCATGTTTGTTTTCAAATTACAGTTTCATCCACACTGTCGTTTCAGTCATGAGCGAGACACCGTGTTGGCAACCAACCGTGCCGAGTGCCTTAAAGTAGACGAAGTTTTAATGTACTATTGGTCAGTTTGTCAGTAACACGGCTTATAACCTCCTGGTACAGTTGTATCATAGACTGACATCTAGTCTCTGAAATGAACATATTTTACAGAAAAAAACAGTTGTTAAAATTATAATAATAAAATATGATAAAAAGGAGCCCAGAGACTTCCTTCGCTTTCATTTCCTGACACTGCAGTCATTTAGACTTGCCAAACATTATAGACTTGCATGGGCTGTATTGGATATATTTGTTTCAGGGTCTGTATGACAGTTTAGTTGTATTGCTACAACCGCTACAAACTGTAGCTTCATTACTGGACATTGCTATTGTACGTCACCACTATAGTGTGGGGGCGGTCGGGTAGCCTAGTGGTTAGAGCGTTCGATCGTCACGCCGAAGACCCGGGTTCGATTCCCGACATGGGCACAATGTGTGACGCACATTTCTGGTGTCCCCCGCCGTGATATTGCTGGAATATTGCTAAAAGCGGCGTAAAACCATACTCACTTACCTATTCACTATAGTGTGACGTGCCAATTACTGTCGTGACGTAGATATTGTTTTGTGACGTTCACAGTATTTTTATCACAAAGGGAGTGTTTTATGTTGTACCCAGTCTTTCTGTCACTTGGTTGTGACGTGCCAAAAATGTTCGTGACGTAGATATTGGTTGTGACGTGCCAAAAATGTTCATGACGTAGATATTGGTTGTGACGTGCCAGCAATGCTCGTGACGTAGATATTGGTTGTGACGTACCAAAAATGCTCGTGACGTAGATATTCGTTGTGACGTGCCAAAAATGTTTGTGACGTAGTTATTGCTTGTGATCAAACTACTATTTTCGTGACGTAGATATTGTTTGTGACGAACCTACAATGCTCATGACGTAGATATTGGTTGTTACGCACCTTCAATGTTGGTGTTGCAGATGCTGTATGTGACGTTCCTTCAATATTCGCGAAGAAGATATTGTTTATGACGTACCTATCATGCTGTGACAAAAACAATGTTTATGACGTACCTATCGTGCTATGACGAAGACATTGTTTATGACGTACCTATCATGCAATGTTGGTGACGTAGATGCTGTATGTGACGTTCCTTCAACATTCGCGATAAGATATTGTTTATGACGTACCTAACATGCTGTGACAAAGATAATGTTTATGACGTACCTATCGTGCTATGACGAAGACATTGTTTATGACGTACCTATCATGCAATGTTAGTGACGTAGATGCTGTAAGTGACGTTCCTGCAATATTCGCGAAGAAGATATTGTTAATGACGTACCTATCATGCTATGACGAAGACATTGTTTGTGACGTACCTTGTGTAATGCTGACTCGCCTGGCCAATGTCCGCCGTCTCCGGACCACACATACTAGCAGCAGTATAGAGAGAAGCAGCGCTGTGATGCCCACGCAGAAGGCGAGGATCTGACCATACCCCAAACTTGGCCCTGAATCTTCCTCTACCTCGTCTGGTTCTTCCTCTGGTTTCTCCGGTTCGATGTAATCTGCAACATGCACAACTCTTATTAAAAACTTTTTTAAGTATGTAATTCCATAATTCATCCAGTCAGCAACCTTCCAACCATATCACGACCACCTCTAAATAATCGGATCTGCACCAGGCAAACGGGTGGTTGATACCATGACGAACAACCTACCCCTTGTATACATTTCACTGAAGACCGGAAGAGGGGTACGCAGGTAAGACCGGAAGAGGGGTAGAGTTAAGACCAGAAGAGGGGTACACAGGTAAGACCGGAAGAGGGATAGAGTCAAGACCAGAAGAGGGGTACACAGGTAAGACCGGAAGAGGGACAGAGTTAAGACCGGAAGAGGGATAGAGTTGAGACCGGAAGAGGGGTACACAGGGAAGACCGGAAGAGGGACAGAGTTAAGACCGGAAGAGGGACAGAGTTAAGACCGGAAGAGGGATAGAGTTGAGACCAGAAGAGGGGTACACAGGTAAGACCGGAAGAGGGACAGAGTTAAGGCCGGAAGAGGGATAGAGTTAAGACCGGAAGAGGGGTACACAGGGAAGACCGGATGAGGGATAGAGTTAAGGCCGGAAGAGGGATAGAGTTAAGACCGGAAGAGGGGTACACAGGGACGACCGGAAGAGGCGTACACAGGGAAGACCGGAAGAGGGGTAAACAGAGGTCAGGTTTTAATTTCAGCGGCATGCAAGTGAAGATTTATGACGCCCTTTCCAGAAAGTGTACGGCTAAATATCAGTGTACAGTTAGTGTAAACCCTACAACGACTGACAAAGATTCGCGTATCATTCAACAAAACAATAAGTCACGAATGACAGACCGAGAGTAGAGCATAATCTATTTCAACACCAGAGGGAATCTAGAAGGTACGAATGTGTCCTTGAAAGTGTCCTTGAAAGTGTCCTTGAAAGTGTCCTTGAAAGTGTCCTTGAACAGTCTGACCATACTGTGTGGAAGGAAGCCAGAAAAAAAAGGTTCAGAAGTTTTCAACCTTGGTGAAATCGTCAAGCACTGGTATGGTGCTGACAAACCTAGAAACATATTCGAACCTACGATCATAGGTTCCTGACAAGCCTAAGGGATGGCTGCCGCACCAGAATCGAACCCACGACTCTTTCCCGGAGTGTCCGCACCATGCGTGCTCGTCTGTTTCATCGACGTGATAACGTCCACGATCTGCATCACTTCGAGATTTCCTCCCACATCAAACTTAAATAATTTAATTGCTCTTCTGTTCAAAACGGCGTTAAAAACATCACTCACTCTCATTACCATACCCAGGGGTTGGGGGTAGGGGGTTTCATGGGGTTCGAAAACAGTACCGAAAATTGAAGAAATACAGATGTGGCTTCCTATGGACCGCTGTCTTTGTCAACCGAAACGGATTCCGTTAACAATTTCTAATCCTCTTTATGGGCGGTCGGGTAGCCTAGTGGTTAAAGCGTTTGCTCGTAACGCCGAAGACCCAGGTTCGATTCCCGACATGGGTACAATGTGTTAAGCCCATTTATGGTGTCCCCCGCCTTGATATTGCTAGAATATTGTTAAAAGCGGCGTAAAACCAAACTCACTCACTTCCTCTTCCTCTTTATGTTCATTTCGATGCATGGAAGCTGCGGGATATGTGATCGAATATATAGATAGTAAATCTAGTTATGAGTTCATCTGATCTGCCCCTGATGTGTGATCTGTGATCCCCCTGCATTCAGTGATATTCCCACCGGTCATCAGTGAATGTCCCCTGCACGAGAGCTGATTCCTGGAGGTGTAACATGAGTGAAAGTGTACCATCGTGTTTTGTTTCTCACCTACTTCTAGTATACCTGCGCGTTAAAGGTACATTACCATCTATTTTCATACATCTGACGTCAAATAAAAGATAAACAGTCTCAAATGATCATTCCTGCTATAAGAGTCTACACGTATCATCTTACCTGCACGAAACATACTTCGAACATCTTTCTTAAGTGGATAAATGTTTTAAAAAAATAGTTTTTTGGCACAATGCTATGTTCCTAAATTATTGTTATCCAAAGAAGCACGTTTTATCAATGCAATCACCGTGCTGAGCATGCAAATAACTGTAACATAATACTGTAACCAACACTGCATAACGCTAATGTAACAAAATAATTAGTTCTGCACCATAACGCATCCCTATTACAACATAAACTAACACTCACATACACAATCTTAATCCCGAGGCTGAATATTAGGAGATCATGAGTGCATTTTGCAGTAAAGGTGTTTTTCGATTTTAATGCGCGATCTAGAAGAAATTGTTTGAAAAGGATTCAGACAAAAGAATCCAGAAAAAAATATTCGTCCCCTGGTGTACAATGATTATGGGTTCGAATCCCGGTTCGCCCCGATTAGGTTTCTAGGTTTGTCAGCACCATACCCGTGCTCGTGGGTTTCACCGAAGTGGTAAACGTCTGAGACCTGCATCACTTTGGGCTTTCCTCCCACATTAAGCTGACACGCTGCGGTATAACTGGAATACTGTTATAAGCGGCGTTAAACCCAACTCACTCACTCACTCATAACACAAACAGTGAGTGAGTGAGTGATTATGTTTGGTTTAACTCCGCTTTGAACAGTATTGCAGTTATATCACGTTCCTGACATTACACGAACCTAAAACTTTTTAAAATAAATAGCAAATAATGGTTTTTATGACATTAGTTTATGAGCATCGCGATGAAAAAGTGACATAAACTGACTATTTCTGTCTTTGAAAGCAACACAAATTCATCTAATCAATAAAAGTATCGTTGTTGCCTTACCAATGACCTCATAAATACATTTTTAATGCTTAGGCCGAGGTACGGTTGCAGATACTCTGAGCGAAATCACTGAAAATTTGAACTTTAGTGTACTTTCATGATCTCGTGTTAAATTACACGAGAAGATATCCTGAAAAACACCCTTGACACCGAATGTCACTAGCACAGCTGTTGACGCAAAATATACTACCGACAAAAAGACGGAACAGATGAATTGATAGTGAAGGTGAAATGATTGTTAATGTCTATAAAATTAGTTTCGGGCGTGTAGATCAATATCTGGTGAGTCCACCATGTTTGGTGATACTCGTACATGCACGACACCTTGATGGCATACTGTTGATTAACTTGTGTATCGTTGCCCTTGGTAAGGCCTAAAGAGCTACCCTAGCGTTGGCGGATACTCTAATGGGGACTTGCCAGAGGATCCGGGGTAGAATAGGTCTTCAGCAACCAATGCTTGCCGTAAAAGACGACTATGCTTGTCGTAAGAGGCGACTAACTGGATCGGGCAGTCAGGCTCGCTGACTTGGTTGATGCATGTCATCGGTCCCAATTCGTGGATCGATGATCATGATGTCAATCACTGGATTGTCTGGTCCAGACTCGATTATTTACAGACCGCCGTCATATAGTTGGAATGTTGCTGAGTGCGGCGTAAAACAACAAACCAACCAACCAACATGTCAGGGGACCTAGCGGGGCAGTCAAATGTTCCTGGCCTTCTCGTCGGAGCTAATCGGTGACGACCTGGGCACGATGTGGTCTGGCATTGGAATCTTGCAGTTCAACATTACGGACTAAAGTTCTTGCGTAGGGAACAACGGCAGGACGCATGTCGTCAACATATCGCTAGCCAGTCAAACGTGCACTCACAATAACCAAATGAGATCGACTGTCATGTGTGATACGCCCCGCACCATGACACTGCCGCCCCCAAACCGATCATGGTCAAGAATTGTTGCCCTGGCATACCGCTCGCCGCTACGTCGCCAACAACGTTTTCTGCCATCAGTGAATCGGAGGTAAAACCTTGATTCGTCTGTGAACATGGTGTAACGCCATCCCGTTCCTGGTGTTGCCAATCATTGAGATACTGTTTCGCAGGCATTTTAAGCATTTGCTTATCTCAATTGCATGAGTGATTGTGAGTTCTCCAAAAGGCGCACACACGTGCATCACGTGCTGTTCGTGGATGATGGGAAATTTCAGCTGAAACGCAACGGTATTGTAAATGCACACCTTAACGACAGCAATATTGAAATCATCAGTTCCCGTATTTATTGACGATAGTATATATAGCTGCGTTCAGCTCAACACTCGTGGGCGGTCACAGGAATAGCTGCCGCTGTATTATATAACATGACGTCAATAGAACGTGGCCCATCGACAGTGAAATCATGTTGGAACTTAATATATCTATATGCATGCCTATGCTGAACCTTTGACACATATTCATAGAATATTATTTGAAACGATTTTTTTATATAAAGAGGAAATATGTTACTCCGTTTTGTAAAGAACCCAGTCACTCCTTTTTAAAGCACACTGAATGTAGAAACGCATAAAAAGACAACCAAAAGGTGAATTTTTTTCAATACAAATAACACGACTAACAAACGCAATTATTTTCCGAATAGAGCGTCCGCCTGGAAAGCTAAAGGCCGCTGTTCGATCCCAAGGCCGCGTTATACCGAATGACGTTAAAAACTTTTACATGTTGTTATCCTGCATTAAGAACAAGGACTAGTCGGCTCGGAGTGTGTTGTATACTGCAACAATCTTGAGGGGGGTATTCATGTTAAACTGCAGCATGGTATCTATATGCATGCCTATGCTGAACCTTTGACACATATTCATAGAATATTAGTGTAGACTACTTTGTCATTGCACATGTGGTTAATTACTGCACATGTTATTACAATTATTGGTGTTTCATGGTACAGTGCAGTGGAATTGATGGTGCAATACAGTTGCTTTCATGGTACAATGATGCGGTTTCAGCATACATTTAGCATATAGACCAGATATTCTTTTATTTTAAACTATAAGCGAAACAAATATTTTCTCCAAAAAACACATTTCTACAATGTAGCTTTTTGGCAGACAATTAAGTTTTGTCCAACAATATGAGGGGCGGTCGGGTAGCCTAGTGGTTAAAGCGTTCGCTCGTCACGCCGAAGACCCAGGTTCGATTCCCGACATGGTACAAAGTGTGAAGCCCATTTCTGGTGTTCCCCGCCGTGATATTGCTGGAATATTGCTAAAAGCGGCGTAAAACCATACTCACTCACTCACTCCAACAATATGAAGCATAACTATTTTATTCAAGAACTTTCGAGAGTATTTTATTTTGTACGATAAAATCCCAAGTGCCCCCTCCCGCCAGAATATCAAATGGTCGACTTCTACGTAGTAGATTCTCTGCACAGAGGTAATTCAAAATAATATATTATTTCAACAAATTCAGCAAATGCGCGCTCATGTCTGGTGACGACTCGAGTGTTTAAACCCGATCTCCCTTCAATACCTCATCCCGAACTACCTTCACAACCTCATCCCAAACTACCTTCACAACCTCATCCCAAACTACCTTCACAACCTAATCCCGAACTACCTTCACAACCTCATCCCAAACTACCTTCACAACCTCATCCCGAACTACCTTCACAACCTCATCCCAAACTACCTTCACAACCTCATCCCAAACTACCTTCACAACCCCATCCCAAACTACCTTCACAACCTCATCCCAAACTACCTTCACAACCTCATCCCAAACTACCTTCACAACCTCATCCCAAACTACCTTCACAACCTCAACCCAAACTACCTTCACAACCTCATCCCGAACTACCTTCACAACCTCATCCCGAACTACCTTCACAACCCCATCCCGAACTACCTTCACAACCTCATCCCGAACTACCTTCACAACCTCATCCCGAACTACCTTCACAACCTCATCCCGAACTACCTTCACAACCTCATCCCAAACTACCTTCACAACCCCATCCCGATCTCCCTTCAATACCTCATCCCGAACTACCTTCACAACCTCATCCCAAACTACCTTCACAACCTCATCCCAAACTACCTTCACAACCTCATCCCGAACTACCTTCACAACCCCATCCCAAACTACCTTCACAACCTCATCCCGAACTACCTTCACAACCTCATCCCAAACTACCTTCACAACCTCATCCCGAACTACCTTCACAACCCCATCCCAAACTACCTTCACAACCTCATCCCAAACTACCTTCACAACCTCATCCCGAACTACCTTCACAACCTCATCCCGAGCTACCTTCACAACCTCAACCCGAACTACCTTCACAACCTCATCCCGAACTACCTTCACAACCTCAACCCGAACTACCTTCACAACCTCATCCCGAACTACCTTCACAACCTCATCCCGAACTACCTTCACAACCTCATCCCGAACTCCTTGTTCAATTTTGCAACCCATCCTGCACAACCTATTCCCACCTCACTCATCCTCAACCCCTATAGACTACCCATCCCAAACCCCCGTCACATCCTATCCCAAACCCCCGACACAACCCATCCCAAACCCCCGTAACATCCTGTCCCCTTAACCAAGAGACAACCCAGAGACAACCCCAGACACAACCCATCCCAAACCCCCGTCACAACCTATCCCAAACCCCCGACACAACCCATCCCAAACCCCCGACACAACCCATCCCAAACCCCCGACACAACCCATCCCAAACCCCCGTCACAACATATCCCTAACCCCCGACACAACCCATCCCAAACCCCCGACACAACCCATCCCAAACCCCCGACACAACCTATCCCAAACCCCCGACACAACCTATCCCAAACCCCCGTCACAGGCAACATCGAACTCCCTTCACCAAAATCATCGCTTCTACTTACTGATATAGATTTCCTCCGATTTAATACATCCGAGCTCATTGCAGACCTCTAAGGCATAAACTCCGAACGTCCTCTTGTTAATTTCCTCAATGATCAGCTGAATATCAAACACTTCCTTCTCTACGCTCTTCGTGTAAATCAAAAGCGTGTCTATAGACCTGTTAATTGCTTGTCTGTAGCCGGTGTAGGGAAGCAGTAATCTGGCCTCTTTGTAAAGCCACGTCACGCGTAACGTCGGCGACGGCGAAATTACACGTTGGGTCAAGGTCACTGATGCTGCTATCCTTTGTTTGGACAACACGTTGGTTTGCAAAAATACCGGAGCTCCTGAAACGATTTTTTTATATAAATAAGCAAATATGTTATTCCGTTTTGTAAAGAACCCACTCACTCCTTTTTGAAGCACACTGAATGTAGAAACGTATAAAAAGACAAGACCAAAAGGTGAATTTTTTTCAATACAAATAACACGACTAACAAACGCAATTATTTTCCGAATAGAGCGTCCGCCTGGAAAGCTAAGGGCCGCTGTTCGATCCCAAGGCCGCGTTATACCAAAAGACGTTAAAAACTTTAACATGTTGTTAACCTGCTTGACAGTCTGCATTAAGAGTGCGTGAGTTGTGTTTAACGCCGCTTTTAACAGTATTCCAGTTATATCGCGCCGTGTCAGCTTAATGTGGGAGGAAAGCCCGAAGTGATGCAGGTCTCAGACGTTTACCACTTCGGTGAAACCCACAAGCACGGGTATGGTGCTGACAAACCTAGAAACCTAATCGGGGCGAACCGGTATTCGAACCCACAATCATAGGTTTCTGGCGTGTCCAAGGGACGCAACTCTGCACAGCGAATCGCGGCGCCTTAGACGACTGGGCCACCCGTGCCCCCCTGCATTAACAAGGACTAGTCGGCTCGGAGTGTGTTGTATACTGCAACAATCTTGAGAGGGGTATTCATGTTAAACTGCAGCATGGTATCTCAGAGGCAAAAGTCCGCAAGCACGCAAGCACGCAAGCACGCACGCACGCACTCACTCACCAACACAAACGTGTTTGCACGTCGGGACACAAGTGCATTGCAACGCGACGTTGACACCCCATTTCGCCTCATCTACAGTCGTAACTCTCTTTGCCAAAGGTAGCGCCATAGATTTATGGTAATTATGATTCATGGCTTCAGTCCAGTGCTCGTGGATCGGTGTGGTCAAACACCTGTGTCCCTATTCTCCCCTGGACACGCCGTGACAACAACCCAAGTCTCAAGTATGAAAGCCTAATGGTGCCACTTTGGTAGCATTATTTTTCTTTTTTTTAATCAAAATTTATCTTTATACAATCATTTTCTCGAGATCTCTCGTTCTTTCTTGTTACTTCGATTTGTTTCTCGTTACTTGGATTATTTTCTCGTTATTTCAAGTATTTTCTCGAAATTTCAAGTTTTTGAAAATAAACTTGAAATAACGAGAAAAAATAACCGAAGTAGCGAAAAATAACTCGTAATTTCGAGAAAATGATTGAAATAAAAAGTAAAAAAATTGAGTTTTTGAAATAAACTTGAAATAATGAGAAAATAATCGAAATTACGTGAAAAAAATATATGTGCTACCAAAGTGGCACCATTACGTTTTCGAAGTTTAACCGAACTCACTCTTCAATTGATACCTACCCCTTGGCTCAAACGTAATATCGCTAGGAATTGGATCCCTGCCAAGCTTGCGAAGGGCGTTGTTAGTTACACTACAGACATACACGCCCTCGTCCTTGAAGGAAGGTCGGGGGATACGTAACCTTGACTCCATCCGTCGCTGTTCACCTTCAAGTTCTCGCACCAGCTCGCCATTGTACATGTGTTTCCAGTCGCTGAACGTCACGTGACCTGGATTGGCCCTAACTCTGCATATCAAAACGGGTTCGACGGTTCCTCCACCGTCTGCCAGGAATTCCAGCGCCACCGAGGGAATTGGAGGATCTGTAAACAAAAGGGGACGTGGCTAGATATTTTGACTATATTCCAAGGTGATTTATTTCATTCGGTACGGAAATAGTTCGACTAATTCAATTTAGTGAATGAGTGAGTATGGTTTTACGCCGCTTTTAGCAATAGTCAAGCAATATCACGGCGGGGGACACCACAAATGGGCTTCACACATTGTACCCATGTCGGGAATCGAACCCGGGTCTTCGGCGTGACGAGCGAACGCTTTAACCACCAGGCTACCCCACCGCCCCTAATAATTCAATTTAGATATTAGTTCCACCTCACTATACGTTAGGGGGCGGTCGGGTAGCCTAGTGGTTAAAGCGTTCGCTCGTCACGCCGAATACCTGGGTTCGATTCCCCACATGGGTACAATGTGTGAAGCCCATTTCTGGTGTCCCCCGCCGTGATATTGCTGGAATATTGCTAAAAGCGGCGTAAAACCATACTCACTCACTCACTCACTATACGTTAGACTTAACATTATTTGTTTGTTTGTTGTTTAACGCCGCACTCAGCAATATTCTAGCTATATGACGGCAATCTGTAAATAATTGAGTCTGGACCAAACAATCCAGTGATAGACATCATGAGCATCGACCTACGCAATTGGGATACGATGACATGCATCAACCAGGTCAGCGAACCTGACCATCCGATCCTGCTAGTCGCCTCTTACGACAAGCATAGTGGCCTTTTACGGTAAGCATGGGTTGCTGAAGACGGATCTGCACGGGTCAGTGAGTGAGTGAGTTGGGTTTAACGCCGCTTTTAACAGTATTCCAGTTATATCACGCCGTGTCAGCTTAATGTGGGAGGAAAGCCCGAAGTGATGCAGGTCTTAGACGTTTACCACTTCGGTGAAACCCACGAGCACGGGTATGGTGCTGACAAACCTTGAAACATAATTGGGGTGAACCGGGATTCGAACCCACACTCATAGGTTTCTGGCGTGCCCAAGGGACGCAACTCTGCACAGCGAATCGCGGCGCCTTAGACGACTGGGCCACCCGGCCCCCTTTGCACGGGTCGGACTTAACATTAAACATATATACCCTCAATCTCAGAACCGCACACTCAGTTGTGATTATACTGAATTACCGAAAGATCCATAAACGAATATTTTCTTATAAACATTGGCCCCTGGCTAAAACACGCTGCGTAACTTTTTTGATTGATATTGAGACTTGTTCCCCGATTTTACCGATATTTAAATAATCTCTCGATAACATTCCATTCTATCATGATTGATAACCAGGACTTTCCGCAACAGCGTCCGTTTAAAGAGCAAAACATGTGTAATCTATGAATACACAATGCCATTTAGAAAGTGGTAAAATGTAACAAATGTTATATTTTTGGGATAACACTTTCTTAGTAAAGTACAGATTCTCGTACTTTTTGGGGTTGAGTCCCGTCCGGGATTCGAACCCACACTTTCCAGAGTGAGGCACCTAATCGCCAGCACACAAAGTCAGACGTTGAAGCCTCGGTGGCTGAGTGGGTTAGATCGCTGACTTTGTGTGCTGGCGATTAGGTGCCTCACTCTGGCAAAAGTGGGTTCGAATCCCGGACAGGACTCAACCCAAAAAAGTAAGAGAATCTGTACTTTAGTAAGAAAGTGTTATCCAAAATATAACATTTGTTACATGTGTAATCTAGCAAAGAAACTCCATAGCATTGTTATTTCAGCGTAGACGCCGTGATATAACTAGAATACTGTTCAAATCGACGTTAAACCAACTGAAACACTCACTCACTACTAGATAACATGTAGTCTCTGAAATGAACATGTCGTACAGAAAAAAACAGTTGTTCAGTTATCTTAATAAAAATATAATAAGAGAGAGCCCAATGTCTCTCTTATTTTTTTAGATACTGCAGTAATCTAGACTTGCCAAACATTATAGACTTGCATGGTCTGTATTTGATATATATTTGTATCAGGGTCTGTAAGACAGACTAACTCACTGCCAGTGATACGCCGTGTCTTCCCAAGAGACCGACCCCTTAATCCCCAGATTTAAGTAATCTGTTGTGACAGTGGATTAGTGCATTGGGATTATCTCACACACTAGAAGGATAGACAGACAGACTGTTTATTACATTCTCACATCTGTTTACATATTAAGTGAGTGAGTGAGTGAGTACGGTTTTACGCCGCTTTTAGCAATATGCAGCAATATCACGGCGGGGGACACCAGAAATGGGCTTCACATATTCTACCCATGTGGGGAATCGAGCCCGGGTCTTCGGCGTGACGAGCGAACGCTTAAGCCACTAGGCTACCCGACCGCCCGTTTACATATAAAGATAAATGACATAGTAAAATAAACATTAAAGAGCCATCCTTCTATGGGTTATGAGAGACTATTAAAATACAATTGCGAATCACATAAAACTATTTGCTAAAATGCGCATAAAACATTAAATAAACAAACACACATTCTTAAACAGGCAACAGCAACTTACACACTATGACAAAAAATAGACTTGCGTTTTTGTAATAAAAAATTGCAGGTTTGGCAGCTGTGAACAGTACATCTGGGTTGGACTGTATGAAAGACACTTTTTCAACATCAGAATAATCACTGAAAATATAACAAACTTGGGTACATCTTCTTGGAGGATAGCGTCGTGGTAATAACCCGATATACCTGTCTTGAGTGAGTATAGTTTTACGCCGCTTTTAGCAATAGCCCAGCAATATCACGGCGCGGGACACCAGAAATGGGCTTCACATATTGTACCCATGTGGGGAATCGAACCCGGGTCTTCGGCGTGATGAACGAACGCTTTAACCGCTGGGCTACCCCATGGCCCCTGATTGGCGTAGGCTATAGCACCAGGGGTTGCCTCCGATGGTGGGATTGGTCAATGCATTGTGTTCTGACCATCCTGACCCACGGACTGTAAACACTGCACCAGTTAGCCAACAAAGAAGGCAGAAGGAAACTCAGGAAGCCAGCTCTTAGGTTTGGATGCAATAATGTTCGCACGTGATGTACGTGCAGCAGGGCGTGGAGTCATCCCACAGATGACATCCTTACCTGGTCAGCTTGCTGACGGGGTTAACCTCTTTGGTCATGTGGACAAGGCGTCCGACCTCAGATCAGAAGGTCCGTAGTTCGAATTCCATCACGGGACTCAAAAATTGTATTGCCGCTACATTGTCGCCCAACGTGGGGCTGAGCACGTTCATATCAAATTTGAGCAAAATAAGTCTCAGCACCCTACTATGCGGCCCGGGACGTGCCTTCCGTTGACGAGGGAGAATGTAGCAGGGCGTGGAGTCATCCTACAGATGACACCCTAACCTGGTCAGCTTGCTGACGGGGTTAACCTCTTTGGTCATGTGGACAAGGCGTCCGACATCTGATCAGAAGGTCCGTAGTTCGAATCCCATCACGGGACTCGAAAACTGTATGGCCGCTACATACGCAAGAGCGTTGTTACCACCAACAAACTCCGAAAACTGCAAACGGTCATCGCTATGCTATACAAACTGACCAAACCAGAAAGTACTGCGTCAAGGATTTAATGCTCAGAATGAGTGAGTGAGTGAGTGAGTGAGTGAGTGAGTTGGGTTTAAGGCCGCTTTTAACAGTATTCCAGTAACATCACGGCGTGACAGCTTAATGTGGGAGGAAAGCCCGAAGTGATGCAGGTCTCAGACGTTTACCACTTCGGTGAAACCCACGAGCAGGGGTATGGTGCTGACAAACCTAGAAACATAATTGGGGCGATCCGGGATTCCAACCCACAATCATAGGTTTCTCGCGTGCCCAAGGGACGCAACACTGCACAGCGAATTGCGGCGCCTTAGACGACTTGGCCACCCGTGCCCCCAAAGGCCGTATATGGCTGATATATTGTTGAGTGCGTAGTTAAACTACAACACTACATACAGACAGCTGTAGGTAGTTTACATTTGACATTGCTTAAAACCCGTGGCTATTATGCATCCTCTGTTAAGCAAACAATGAGAGATGAACGTGCAGCGGAAATCGACGTCCATCAAGAACTGATTGATTGAAATCGACAGGTTTTCTAAACGGTATATCAACGCGGCTGCCTGACAGCAGAGCGATTAAGGACACAACTGTACGCATTGAAATCAGTGTTCTATTCTTGTCACTTGTTCAATTACTTTGAAATCAGAATGTGGTCCAATTCACGTAATTATTTCTTCAGTCGGAGGCCATTGTGAACGTGTGTCAGAGGTGGGTTTGACGCCACATTGAGCAATTGTTCAGTACAATCTAGGCGTGTAACGTTATGGCGGTGAGAATCGATTCTGAGGATCTACTCACGAGGATCATGGCGCGATAATAGGTGAACTGAAGACGACGTTACCATTCGTACCCCCTGCCTGAAGTTTTGGTGTTATAATGAGGCCAATGAATATAAGAACGGTGATATGTCTTTGACGCCAGAACCGATAGTCATCTGACTGGTTTGTTCTTATTAATACGTTACAAAGATCGGAAGTGACTGAGTGAGAATGGTTTTACGCCGCCTTTAGCAATATCACGACGGGGGACAACAGAATTGGGCTTCACACATTTTACCCATGTTGGGATCGGCGTGACGAGCGAACGCTTTAATCACCAGGCTACCCGCCCCCCCCCCCCCCCCCCCCCCCACACACACACACACATATACACACAGCCCCCACCCCCCACCCCACCCAGCGGCGTAAAACTATATACACTCGCTCACTCACGCACTGTTGGTCACCAAGTACCACATTACAAGAAATCAACAGCTATTTTCTATTTTGCAAGTTAGCAAATTGTCGTGATGACTAATATCAATCTGATTGTTTGTTTACAACGTTATAAATGACCCTCTTTCGTCAGTTCAGGTCGATCTCTCTTATCAGTATTAGAATTTTTCTTAAATAGCCAGCTCTAATTAATACTTTCGAAATAAGATTTTGTATTTTGACCCGATGAAATGTGATAGTTGATTAAATCTCGAGTTGGAGTGCGTGTGGCGACTATTTCCGAACGTATTATATGTCAGGTTTATTGGGAATTGTGACATTAGTTTTGAGACGATGGTAATTTTTAACAAAAATACTTCTTTTAAACAAACAATCAATCAATATACGTACAACAGTTCAGAAAAAAATGTTCAATTTTATTGAACATCTATTTCAAATGTTTAATTATGCTAGTTTTTATTCGAGGAAAGCTAGTGAGTACATTGCCACACACGACGGAGAGACGATGCGTAGATTAGACGAAAGCCTTCAAAATGATGTTTGTTATTTGTTTGTTGTTTAACCCCGAACTCAGCAATTAGTCTGTTAGTCAGCGGTCTGTACATAATCGAACCTGGGCCAGAGAATCCGGTGACTGACATCATGAGCATCGATCCATGCAATTGAGTGAATGAGTGAGTATGGTTTAACACCGCTTTTAGCAATCTTCCAGCAATATCACGGTGGGGGACACCAGAAATGTACCCATGTCGGGAATCGAACCCGGGTCTTCGGCGTGACGAGCGAACGCTTTAACCACTAGGCTACCTCACCGCCCCCCATGCAACTGGGATACGATGACAAGCATCAACTACGTCAGCGAGCCTGACCACACGATCCCGTTAGTCGCCTCTTACGACAAGCATAATCGGCGTGTACAACAAGCAAGGGTTGCTGAAGACCTATTCTATCCCGGATCATTTGTCTCTGTCGGATAAATGATAATACAGGTAAAATGAAAGACGATAACGCATTGATGATCGATACGACAGAGATCGAACAATGTCAATGTCTCTTAAGGTACTGGGGCACTGTGTTAACCTAGATTGCTATTGAAAAGAACACCACACACGAATTGGTTGAGTGAGTGAGTGAGTTGTGTTTAACGCAGCTTTTATCAGTATTCCAGTCGTATCACGGTGTGTCAGCTTAATTAGGGAGGAAAGGTCTCAGACGTTTACCACTTTGGGGAAACCAACTAACAAACCTGGAAACATAATCATAGGTTCCTAGTGTGTCCAAGGGACGCAACTCTGCACAGCGAACCAAATTTGCCACTTCGGTGAAACCCACGAGCAGGGGTATGGTGCTGACAAACCTAAAAACATAATCGGGACGAACCGGGAGTCGAATCAACAATCATAGGTTTCTGGCGTGGCCAAGGGACGCAACTCTGCACAGCGAATCGCGGCGCCTTATACGACTGGGCCACCCGTGCCGCCATCGACTTATGAAGTCAACATGCACATTGTAAAAGTTTGCACGGGATCCGGGGGTGAGTACTTACATTCTACTTCCAACTGGACCTGTCCAAATCTTGCTTTCACTGTGTTTGTGTTGGTCACTAAACATCGGACGGTCCGGCCATCATAGGTCCAATCAGGCCGAAGCCTCAGCGACTGTCTGCATCTATATTGCGTGGAGTCGAACTCGGAATGGGAGACTGTTGCTGTCAAGTTCCCGTAGTGCCAATGGAAATCGAACAGATGGTCACAGTGACACATGCAGGTGATGGTCATCTCGGCGTGGTCAGTCGTGGAGCCTCGGTTACCACTGATGTCAACGTCAGTCGGCCAGACTGCAATGAAGACAGTTAATATGCATTGGAGGAATGAATGAGTGAGTGTGAGTGAGTGAGTGAGTGAGTTTGATTTTACGCCGCTTTTAGCAATGTTCCAGCAATATCACGGCAGGGGGACACCAGAAATGGGCTTCACACATTGTACCCATGTCGGGAATCGAACCCGGGTCTTCGGCGTGACGAGCGAACGCTTTAACCACTAGGCTACCAGACCGCCCTAATGAGTGAGTGAGGGGGAAGGGTGGATGTGGGTCAGTGTGTTAATGAACGGCCGAGTGAGTGAGTGAGTGAGTGAGTCAAAATGTCTGAGTGATAACTACATATTACATAAATCAAATAGTGTACACGTCATCAGGTCTAACGTTGTAGTTACATAATGGCTAAAGCTTTCAGAAACCTAATGGCGCCTTGAAATGAAGTTTAACGTTGCGTTCAAGATTATTGCACCTATATAGCGCGTGTGTATGTGTGTGGGTGTATGTGTGCGTGCGTGCGTGTGTGACTGCTTGTACTAGTCCAGCCTGATTTCGGTTTCATAGTGCTAGCTCACTGAGACACCACACGCCACAGTTTAACATGAACACCCCACTCAAACACAGTGTACTGACCTGTTTGGGTTTTGCGAGCGAGTTCACCTTGGAGTGGAGTGGCGTGTGAATAACCATTTAGCATGTCGTGACCACCACTGTTATTAATGCATACTCAAGAAGATTAAGATAACTTTTTTAGCACGGCAGAACGGGATCAGGTGGTCAGGCTCGCTGACTTGGTTGATGCATGTCATCGTATCCAAGTTGGTCATGATGTCAATCACTGGATTGTCTGGTCCAGACTCGATTATTGACAGACCGCCCATATAGCTGGAATATTGCTGAGCGCGGCGATAAGCAACAAAGAAAAAACAAATTTACATATACTCAGCATACAGAATGAGAATGTTGACGATGTGATCAACAGCTGAAGAACATGATGTTAATGCCACGTCACGCTGATTGGAAAATGGATAACGACTTTGAAAACAATGGAAAGTGTAAGATTGAAACGCAACTTGTGGTTTAGCCCATATAGGTGCAATACATGACAAGTAACAGCCAATGTGGGTATACAATGTTTCATTCAGAGTGAGTGAGTGAGTGAGTTGGGTTTAACGCCGCTTTGAACAGTATTCCAGTTATATCGCGGCGTGTCAGCTTAATGTGGGAGGAAAGCCCGAAGTGATGCAGGTCTCAAACGTTTACCACTTCGGTGAAACCCACGAGCACGGGTATGGTGCTGACAAACCTAGGAAAATAATCGGGGCAAACCGGGATTCGAACCCACAATCATAGGTTTCCGGCGTGGCCAAGGTACGCAACTCTGCACAGCGAAACGCGCCGCCTAAGACGACTGGACCACCCGTGCCCCAGTTTCATTCAGATGCAATTGAACTGCACTCTTTGAAGTTGAAAATGCGACCCTTTATATCTTATTATCTGCGTGACCCCTTTATATTGACGCTGGTATAAAACACATATAAATGATAGCAAAGGATGGCGGGAAGTTTAAAGACCTAACAGTGTTATAACAAACCAGAAGGGAGGGTGATCTTCACTTCCACTTCCGGACTTCGTAACTTCCGGTACGGATCTTGGCATCGCCATTTTGTTCTATTGAGTGCGGGTAGAGCTGTGAATGCAACAGACACCGTTTTTTTGTCACAGGTGTAATTAAAACCCCTGGGTAGGTCCTGTTGGCTTGTGAATTTGCAACCCCCGATATACTGGACGGTTGCATCCCCGAAGTCATGGTCATCCGATGTCCAGCGGACCAGTGGAGAGATGTAGGGCAGTAGACATGTCAGGTTTAAATGGCTGCCAAAACTGGCGACCTTCTGTGACGCAACAAGTACAGGAATTTCTGAAAATGTAACGATTGTATGATCAATAAACTGTTAGTAAACTGTTGTTCTGTTTGGTGTTTAACGCCGTGGTCAATATTCAAGCTATAACATGGCGGCCTAACAACAAACGAGCCCTCACCTACCTTTGGGATACGATGACACAGAACCAAAGCACTGGGCCAAGGACTTGTTTGTTTGTTTGTTTGTTTGTTTGCTAGTTTGTTTGTTTGTTGTTTAACGCCGCACTCCGCAATATTCCAGCCATTATGACGGCGGGCGGTCTGTAAATAATCGAGTCTGGACCAGACAATCCAGTGATTGACACCATAAACGTCGATCCACGCAATTGGGATACAATGACATGCGTCAACCAAGTCAGCGAGCCTGAACCCCGATCCCTTTAGTCGTCTCTGAAGACAAGCATAGTCGCCCCTTACGATAAGCATGGGTTGCTGAAGACCAATTCTACCCCGGATGTTCACGGGTCCTCTATTTTGAGTCGACGGCGTTTTAAAACAACACTGAAGGCGTGTGCAACTTTAGAGTAGCCACCATGTTACAATATCTGCAGTGATTAAAATTCAAAACATCAATATTGTTAAATAAAGTATTGTAGAAAGTAAGTTGATCTTATTGAATCACTTATATTAGACAGAGTTAGCCTTATACCCCTTAGATTTATATCGGCTGGTATATATTTTCGTTTAGTGTCTTGTTCAAATCCATAGAGCTGCTCTTGAATGTTGACCTGCAAGACGCTATTGAACTTAAAGATTACATAATACTAGTTCCGGTTCATTTCTTATAACAGTTTCATACAGTTAAAGAAACTTTATTTTTTCGCCATAAATTCATTACTTATTTACGTTTCATTTTATCTGCTAGTTTATATAATAAATTTCTTTAATCTTCTTATAACGTCCATGTGAGCAATACTCAACAACAAAAGTTCCTGTGACCAATATTTTAGTATATCTTAAATAAGTAAAGTTTGGTTTTCAATATTGATGTACATGTATGGAATCAAGTCCCAAAAACGCAACTGCTACAGAAAAGCATGCATTCCATACAAAAGTTGACTTTTATGCAAGCCCCATGCATTTCACTACCCAAGAGTGGGTATAAAACATGTTCGTTAACGGGATTCCATATGCATTCAATTCATTTGTTTAGCATCGTGCTGACAACAACCACTCATAGATCAGAAGAACAAAAACATTACGGAATTATTCAATATTACGAAATGCCACGCCTGTCCGAAAATGAGCGTCTGCGAGCCATTGGTATGCTTGAAACAGGATCGAGTCAACGTGATGTTGCAAGACAGTTTAACGTCCACAGAAACACCATTTGGTGTTTATGGCAACGTTGGCAACAGACGAATTCAGTCAGAGATCATCCTCGGAGTGGCAGGCCACGCGTAACCAATAATCGACAAGACAACTGGATTCGAACAACACACCTACGAAATCGATTCCAGTCAGCAACAGTGACTGCAAGAAGCATCCCTGGCCTTCGACGAATATTTTCACAAACCGTACGTCGTTGCCTCAGATGTGCAGGGATTGTCGCCAGAAGATCCGCCAGACATCCCATTTTGACAGGAAACAACCGTCAAGCACGTCTACAGTGGTGCAGACAGCGTCTACGCTGGACGGCCATGCAGTGGGGACAAGTTCTATTCACTGACGAGTCTCGTTTTCACCTCAGCCACAGCGATGGACGGATTCGAGTGTACCGACGTCGAGGTGAACGTTTTGTCAATCATTGTGTCATGGAAGAAGATCGGTTCGGGGCGGCAGCGTTATGGTATGGGTTGGGATTACAGCAAGACAGAGGACCCGTTTGATGGTGGTAGAGGGAAATCTCAATGGACAGCGCTACCGCGACGAGATCATCGGCCCATACCGTTTTTGCGTCGTCATGGCCCAGGCATTACCTTTCAACATGACAAGCCCCGGCCTCATATTTCTCGACTTGTTCAGGGTTCTCTTCAACAAATCAACGTGAACGTCACCCCCCGGCCGGCTCGCTCCCCTGATCTCTCACCAATCGAGCACATGTGGGATGAGATGGATCGGCGCCTTCGACGTCAACCACGTGTTCCACAGACACTCCAGGAACTTCGAAATATGGGCCAGCAGATGTGGACAGATGTACCACAGGACTTTGTGCGACGCCTGGCCCATTCCACTACAGGACTCTTTATCTGTTGCAAACCGAAATTGCTTCAGATTTGGTAAAAAACATAACTTTGCATTAAATTTTATTCAATGTCACAGGAACTTTTGTTGTTCAGTATATAAGCAATCGTGTCTGTTTAACGCTAACCTTGTAAATGACCTCTCTCAATGATGTCTCGGTGACGCCGTTAATGTTGTACATTTTTTACGAGTGACCGCCTCCGTGGTCTAGTGGTAGAGCGTCCGCCCGGAGAGAGGAAAGTCCGGGGTTCGATCCCCAGCCGCGTCATACCAAAAGACACTAAAAGATGGTACTTGTTGTTACCATGTCTGGCGCTCGGCATAAAGGGGCTAAAACAAGGACCGGTCGGCGCGGAGTCAGTATACTGTGTCTGAGTGGGGTATTCATGTTAAACTGCGGCATGGTATCTCAGTGAGCTAGCACTATAAATCGGCATCTGTCCGGACTAGTACAAGCAGCCACACAAACATACATGCACGTCGCTATATAAGTGCAATAATCTTGGACGCGACGTTAAACCCAATTTCACCTCACCTCACATTTTTTATGTTAATATCGACCCACCCTTACATAACGTTAATAATGACCTACCCGTTGCCGTGACAACGTTAATAATGACCTACCCGTTGCCGTGACAACGTTAATGTTGACCTTCTTGCTCTTGATGTGATGTGTTGAGTCGTAGCAGTACCACTTCCGTGCGTCCGAGGTCATGGCATCACTGATGAGGAGACTAGTCCTGTTCCCCTCACAACTAGTTGAGAAACGTTGATCCTTGTGCCAAACCACCTTGCATTCGCCTTTAATGTTCCGTCGTATGTCTGCAACGCTCACCTCGTTGTGGTACCAGATGACGCGGTCAACGTTGACGTTGACGGTGCAGTCCAAGGCCAAGGTCGTGCCAGGGATCACTGTTTCGAGGTCAACCTTTAGGTCCGGCATCAGGATATCTCAACATTGAACATGTCTTATTATAAATTATACATGTCACATTATAAATTCAATTTCACAGAGACATGATGTACAGTAAACTACGGTTATAACGAACACGCTTATAACGAACTGACGGATATAACGAACTTATTTTTTAGTCCCGGCTATTTGATGTATATGCTGCATATATGCTTATAATGAACTACGGTTATAACGAATTAAAATTAGTCGTCCCTTTGAGTTCGTTATAACCGTAGTTTACTGTATGTGTGTGTACTGTGTAATATGGCTCGCTTAGGTTAAATTATTTACATTATCCTTTTCACGGAGCTTGATTCCAAGGGCCTAAAGGCCATTATACAGTGAGCTTAGCATGAGGCACCGTATTACTGCTGCATTTCCGGTTTCCCTGTCACTCGAATAAAATTTGTGATATCGATGAATCCCAAGTATAAAGTGCGGAGCACAGGAAACTATAGTAAACTACGGTTATAACGAACACGCTTATTACGAACTGACCGATATAATGAACTTATTTTTTAGTATTTTTTATTTGATGTATATAAGCTGTATATATGCTTATTAAGAACTACGGTTATAACGAATTAAAATTAGTGGTACCTTTGAGTTCGTTATAACCGTAGTTTACTGTATATGAACTGTTTCTCTCTGTAGATTTTAACATATCTCCGAATTTCAATTGAAAACAGTTTAAGATGGCGCTGTTGTATAAAACAAGCGATCTGTACTGGCGCTTCGTCTGCACCTAAAGACTATTTCTATATGGTTCTATTTTGTGAAACATAATTAGATTTAAAACTTTTAAAACTTAATAAAATATACTTCGCATAACTGCTGATGAACATTTTAGTCATCTTATCTAAGATAATCAATAGATATAATTGTTTCGGCTTAAATTTTTATTTTAAACACCTTACGGGTCACGTGGTTGTAAATTCATTTCTTACCCCAATCCTTTTTGAAACAAATCATTTCTAAACTAACTTCTCCAGCCAAAGATTACCTTTTACAAACTCTGCCTTAAATTAGCGATGGTTAAATCGATATAATCACATTAACACAACAGTAATTTCAATTATTAGTTACATCAACATGTATTCTTTGTTTTGCCAAGGAGATTATATTCAGACCGCCTCCGTGGTCTAGTGGTAGAGCGTCCGCCCGGAGAGCGGAATGTCCGGGGTTAGATCCCAGGCCGCGTCATACCAAAAGACGTTAAAAGATGGAACTTGTTGTTTCCCTGTCTGGCGCTCGGCATTAAGGGGCTAAAACAAGGACTGGTCGGCTCGGAGTCAGTACACTCTCTCATTTCATGATGTCACTAAGATTCTGTAAATTTTGTTTTTGTTTGTTTGTGTGTTTGTTTGTTTGTTGTTTAACGCCGCACTGAGCAATATTCCAGCTATTAAACGTCGGCCTGTAAATAGTCGAGTCCGGACCAGACGGTTCAGTGATTGATATCATGAGCATCGAGCCACGCATTGGGACACGATGACATGCATTAACCATTCAGGGAGCCTGATCAGGGTTTAAATGGCTGCCCAAAAAAGAGACCTTCTGTGACGTCACAAGTACAGGAATTTCTGAAAATGTAACGACTGTATGACCAATATACTTCGTAAAATGTTGTTCTGTTTGGTGTTTAACGCCGTAAAGTGTGAAGGTACTGTTGTCTTTTTTATCAATAAGAATTGACTACAATATTGTTTTGAGTTTCTGGAGGTTTAAACGAAAATCTCGGTGTGCACACTTTACGAATATCATAGCACAGTGTGGATACCGGTTATTACGTATATATCGTCATGAGACACACACACACACACACACACACACACACACACACACACACACACACACACACACACACACACACATTCATAAATCACTCTGCCTATTACTGTTGTGTGTAGTCATTTTATACTCCACTAATAAGTCCCACTACACAATAAATTGCTGGCCAAAGAAAGTTTACGCTTGAAAATTGAATTTGACAAAAAAATTACAAGCGTTATCAAATCAGTACCAGTCTGAAAACAGTCGAAACACTGCAAATATAAGTTCCAAAACTCAACTTTGATACCCGTATGAAATACATCACCATCGAATAACCATTCCCTGTTTGTTTCTTCTGTAGACATCATCACTCATGTCCTTAAAATGCATTTAGAAGTGGTGCACATAAGGAAGTGAATTAATGAATTATTTATTCTCTACCTTATCGGGGGCACGGGTGGCCCAGTCGTCTAAGGCGCCGCGATTCGCTGTGCAGAGTTGCGTCCCTTGGGCACGCCAGAAACCTATGGTTGTGGGTTCGAATCCCGGTTCGCCCCGATTATGTTTCTAGGTTTGTCAGCACCATACCCGTGCTCGTGGGTTTCACCGAAGTGGTAAACGTCTAAGACCTGCATCACTTCGGGCTTTCCTCCCACATTAAGCTGACTCGCCGTGATATGACTGGAATACTGTTAAAAGCGGCGTTAAACCCAACTCATTCACTCACTCACTCTACCTTATCAGAGATGTGTTAAGCGTCTTTTGCGCGGAATGTTTATAACTAGTCTAAGCCCAACCTGTATCATATTGACACTTTGTCTATAATCTTGTATTTTCTAATTCGTGTGCATGGCAACCGAACATGTTTTGAACATTTCCAACGTGGGCAGAGCGAGAGTGTGTTGTTGTAGAAATATATATATCCATACATTCACATGTATGTCACTCGTGCAGATGGTGTACAAATTGACTGTTTTTCCAATTTTTTAATTGCAAATTTTTTCACATATACATGCTGCGTTAACAATAAAATTTTCCCTTTCTGTTTATTGAAAATAAAAAATCATTTTTTACATATGCGCGCTGCCTTAAGATGACTGTACTGAAACAGAGCACAGTGTGGATACCGGTTATTACGTTTATATCGTCATAACACACACACACACACACACACACACACACACACACACACACACACACACACACACCACACCACACCACACCACACCACACCACACCACACACACACTAACACACACTAACACACACACACACACACACACCACACCACACCACACCACACCACACCACACCACACCACACACACACACCACACACACATACACACACACACACACACACACACACCACACACACACACACACCACCATACCACACACACACACACACCACACCACACACACACTAACACACTAACACACACTAACACACACTAACACACACACTAACACACACACACACCACACCACACCACACCACACCACGTACACACACACAAAAAAGGTGAATTCTTAAGTGAGTGAGCTAATGTTGTCTACCCGGTAGATGCCAATAAACTATAGTGACATCCCGTTCTCTGTGAGTCATGTGGGGCGGTCGGACAGCCACGTAGGTAAAGCGTTCGCTCATCACGCCGAAATTCCGCCGGTTCAATTCCCGACATGGGTACAATGTGTACAATGCCCAGTCGTCTAAGGCCGCGATACGCTGTGCAGAGTTGCGTCCCTTGGGCACGCCAGAAACCTATGATTGTGGGTTCGAATCCCGGTTCGCCCCGATTATGATCCTAGGCTTGTCAGCACCATACCCGTGCTCCATGGTTTCACCGAAATGGTAAATGTCTGAGACCTGCATTACTTCGGGCTTTCCTCCCACATTAAGCTGACACGCCGTGATATAACTGGAATACTGTTAAAAGCGATGTTAAACCTAACTCACTCACTCACTCACTGTAAACATTGATAACGTGGGTTGGATCACAGAAACCTGCAGATGTGATGAAAACAAAGAGTGGGTGTGTCTTTTTCACAAACACCCATTTCTGTCAATATAAACACATGTAAAATATGAGATTTGACAAATCCATTCCCTTATACTCGGAGTATACTGTACAAAAGGTGTTTAGAATGTAAAAAGATACAAACGGAATACACATTTGGTGTGTTCCATCTAAACACTTTTAGGGTCTAAACACATGAAATGAGTTATCGTCTCACAGCCTAAGCACCACCGAAACACAACTTCCCCATCATGCTTAGAATCAAGCAACACCAAGAATTTTGTAACAACATTTTGCGTCATACATTGCCTGTAAATAACGTTATTAACGCGTACCACGATTTCCAACACGCTCTGACATCCAAATTTGAGGGGGGGGTGGGGGGTGGGGGGTGGGGGGGCGGGTAGCCTCGTGGTTAGAGCGTTAGATCGTCACGCCGAAGACCCGGGTTCGATTCCCCACATGGGTACAATGTGTTAAGGCCATGTCTGGTGTCCCCCGCCGTGATATTGCTGGAATATTGCTAAAAGCGGCGTTAAACCATAGTCACTCACTCACTCACCAACTTTGAGGGACTCGCGCCGAAGTATTTGAAAGTGCCATCTTGTTATCAATGAACCTCAACTTGTCCCGGGAGAGCTTCACAGCTTTTGCCCTAACGTTTTGCAAATGTCCGAACACGTCCTGCCCGAACCCCTAGGGGGATTCATAGAATTCATACTCTGAATTCCAAAGATATCTACTCTTGGAAGGCGGGGGATACTACGCAAGTGTATATCACCAGATCTGGCAAAGAACCTGATCATACAAGGTGAGGTGAGGTGAAATTGGGTTTAACGTCGCGTCCAAGATTATTGCACATATATAGTGACGTGCATGTACGTGTGTGTGTGTGTGTGTGTGGCTGCTTGTACTAGTCCGGACTGATGCCGATGTATAGTGCTAGCTCACTGAGATACCATGCCGCAGTTTAAAATGAATACCCCACTCAGACACAGTATACTGACTCCGAGCCGACCAGTCCTTGTTTTAGCCCCTTCATGCCCAGCGCTAGACAGGGTAACAACAAGTACCATCTTTTAACGTCTTTTGGTATGACGCGGCCGGGGATCGAACCCCGGACCTTCCGCTTTCCGGGCGGACGCTCTACCACTAGACCACAGAGGCCGTCCTGATCAAAATAACTACCATCGATCTATATCGTCAAGCAACCTTCACTCTCCTTGCAGAACAGAGCACTCACCTTGGCCGTATTGGAATGTGACCTTGATCTGATCGCTGGATTTTCTTTTACGTGTCTCGGTACATAACCAGTTGGCAGTCGTAAATTCTAATTCTGTCAGATCCACCGAGTTATTTGAACAAGAGATCCAAATATTACCCCGATGATTTTCTGTTAAAACCCAGTCACAACTTCCGCCCTCGTATATCTGAACGGAAGCAGCGATGCCGCCATCTTTGGACCACGTGACTTCCTGGTCGCCAGTTTCCAGGGAACATCTCAGGGTAAGATTATCTCCCTTGATGACCTGTACTGCAAGAGGAAGAGAAAGTCACGATCAGAGAACAGAAATAGAAGTCTTTAGAAGTACTTCCGCGAGGATGAGCGTAACTTTGACGACTCTATTGATAGAGTATTAACATTAACTGTGTGAAATCAACAACATGAATTAAAAAAAGTAATCTATAAATATATAGTAAAACGACAAAGCCCTTTCCATCTCTAATAAAATATCTGCATAAAGCAGAGTTGATTGTACAATCGCGAAAAGGTGAGTGAGTGAGTGAGTTGGGTTTAACGCCGCTTTTAACGGTATTCAAGTTATATCACGGCGTGTCAGCTTAATGTGGGAGGAAAGCCCGAAGTGATGCAGGTCTTAGACGTTTACCACTTCGGTGAAACCATGGAGCACGTGTATGGTGCTGACAAAACTAGAAACATAATCGGGGCGAGCGGGATTCGAACCCACAATCATAGGTTTCTGGCGTGCCCAAGGGACGCAACTCTGCACAGCGAATCGCGGCGCCTTAGACGACTGGGCCACCCGTGCCCCCTCGCGAAAAGGTGAGCGTATCCTGGCGCACAGGTATCAAGCTTGCAGACCTATTTCTTTCCAAATACGATCCGATGGCAATGTCTTTTGTGTAACTTCTTGATTAAACGAGTTTTGCAGCCAATGTGTTCTAGCAGACATTGCTTATTGCCCGGCATATTATTTTTACAAAAAGTATCGATCTAGCCAATTAGTAAACGATGACATGCATCAACCAAATCAGCGAGCCTGACCACCCGATCCCGACGGCAAGCATTGGTTGCTGAAGAGCTATTCTACCCTGCAACTTCGCGGGTCTATTACGAAAAGTCAACACGCAAACCGTTTGTTAAAATGGCCAGTTAGTTGCTACGTTTGATCCAAAAGTAGGCTTGACTTGAAGGTTAATTAAACATAGAAAATGACACGCCCCGATTTACGTCCTATATCAATCACAAAGCGTCAGAACACTTCCTGTATCAAGCATTATGTGTCAGAACACGTCCTGTATCAAGCATTATGTGTCAGAACACGTCATGTATCAAGCATTATGTGTCAGAACACGTCCTGTATCAAGCATTATGTGTCAGGACACGTCATGTATCAAGCATTATGTGTCAGAACACGTCCTGTATCAAGCAATATGTGTCAGAACACGTCATGTATCAAGCATTATGTGTCAGAACACGTCCTGTATCAAGCAATATGTGTCAGAACACGTCATGTATCAAGCATTATGTGTCAGAACACGTCCTGTATCAAGCAATATGTGTCAGAACACGTCATGTATCAAGCATTATGTGTCAGAACACGTCCTGTATCAAGCATTATGTGTCAGGACACGTCCTGTATCCAGCATTATTTGTCAGAACACGTCCTGTATAAAGCATTATGTGTCAGAGCACGTCCTGTAGCAATCAAAATGTGTCAGAACACGTCCTGTATCAAGCATTATGTGTCAGAACACGTCCTGTATCAAGCATTATGTGTCAAACACGTCCTGTATCAATCAATATGTGTCAGAACACGTCCTGTATCAAGCATTATGTGTCAGAGCATGTCATGTATCAAGCATTATGTGTCAGAGCATGTCCTGTATCAAGCATTATGTGTCAGAACACGTCCTGTATCAAGCATTATGTGTCAGAGCACGTCCTGTAGCAATCAATATGTGTCAGAATACGTCCTGTAGCAAGCATTATGTGTCAGAACACGTCCTGTATCAAGCATTATGTGTCAAACACGTCCTGTATCAAGCATTATGTGTCAAACACGTCCTGTATCAATCAATATGTGTCAGAACACGTCCTGTATCAAGCATTATGTGTCAGAGCATGTCATGTATCAAGCATTATGTGTCAGAGCATGTCCTGTATCAAGCATTATGTGTCAGAACACGTCCTGTATCATGCATTATGTGTCAGAGCACGTCCTGTAGCAATCAATATGTGTCAGAACACGTCCTGTATCAAGCATTATGTGTCAGAACACGTCCTGTATCAAGCAATATGTGTCAGAACATGTCCTGTATCAAGTATTATGTGTCAGAACACGTCCTGTATCAAGCATTATGTGTCAGAGCATGTCCTGTATCAAGCATTATGTGTCAGAACACGTCCTGTATCAAGCATTATGTGTCAGAACACGTCCTGTATCAAGCATTATGTGTCAGAGCATGTCCTGTATCAAGCATTATGTGTCAGAACACGTCCTTTATCAAGCATTATGTGTCAGAGCATGTCATGTATCAAGCATTATGTGTCAGAGCACGTCCTGTATCAAGTATTATGTGTCAGAACCCGTCCTGTATCAAGTATTATGTGTCAGAACACGTCCTTTATCAAGCATTATGTGCCAGAGCATGTCCTGTATCAAGCATTATGTGTCAGAGCATGTCCTGTATCAAGCGTTATGTGTCAGAGCATGTTCTGTATCAAGCATTATTTGTCAGAACACGTCCTGTATCAAGTATTATGTGTCAGAACCCGTCCTGTATCAAGCAATAAGTGTCAGAACCCGTCCTGTATCAAGCATTATGTGTCAGAACCCGTCCTGTATCAAGCAATAAGTGTCAGAACACGTCCTGTATCAAGTATTATGTGTCAGAACACGTCCTGTATCAAGCAATAAGTGTCAGAACCCGTCCTGTATCAAGCAATAAGTGTCAGAACCCGTCCTGTATCAAGCATTATTTGTCAGAACACGTCCTGCATCAAGCAATATGTGTCAGAACATGTCCTCTATCAAGTATTATGTGTCAGAACACGTCCTGTATCAAGCAATATGTGTCAGAACACGTCCTGTAGCAATCAATATGTGTCAGAACAACACTTCTTATATCAAGCAATATGTGTCAAAACAACACGTCCTATAACAAACAATATATGTGAGGATATTCGAAACAAAAAGTCGTAGCGACGTAAAGCCATAACTTAATTAACAACGCTCTCGAATGTTCCTGAGGCAGGTGCGTCCACTAGCCTTTTTATCAAAGGCTTGTTTCCACTCTTGCCATATAATGCCCACTTTCCTGTTCTATATATACAGTAAAGTACGGTTATAACGAACTCAAAGGGACTACTAATTTTAGTTCGTTATAACCGTAGTTCGTTATAAGCATATATACAGCATAATACAGCAAATTATCGGGACCAAAAAAGTAGTTCGTTATATCCGTCAGTTCGTTATAAGCGAGTTCGTTATAACCGTAGTTTACTGTAATTGGACTATCGCACAGATTTTCACAAAATCAACATACACGACTGGTACGCCTTCGTTTGAAAGTGATTTACCGCTGCCTGTTCTTTTAAACCCCCAACGATTGCCTATGTGTCAGGGATGAAATGGCGAATGTTTTCGTTATCTGATGGACTAGGTCGCCCCCTATCGTAGTCGCCATCTTTGTGAAGCTATACAAGAATAGAACAGCGATCTGATTGGATGTCGCGTTTTCATTACAAGGGACACAATCGTGATCTGCACGAGGTGGCGCCAGGGTCGAGCCAAGAAAAGTGGCCTTGATGAGGCAAGGGTAGAAACTAGGCTTTGGTATAGGCTAGTGGACACGATTGCCTCGGGAAATGCTTATCTCCATGTCAGAAGGATGATGTTTTAATTTTTGTTACCAAGTCAAATTCAAACATGTGGGTAGGGTAAATTCGTTGTAGCAGGGTACATGGGTTTTTCTTTGTCCCTCGTTAGGATCTAGGTGGCCTCCGGCTCGTGGTTTAAAACTTAACGCGGGGAGCATACACCCTCGTGTACCCCTCGAGATCCTTCTACAACTTATAACATTTTCTCCTCGCTAACAGAAATGGGTAATACGTTTGCTTGAACACGCATTTATTGCACACTGGAATACGTGATGAATGGTGACATATTGCAACAGTGACAGAGGAAAACAGTGCGCGTGGTCACTTTCGTTCGGCCAGCAGTGTATTCCAGTGGCCTAGCACAATAAAACTGGCATGAGTACAGACCAGCGCAAGCAGCCACACTCACGTGTACACACGTCGCTATATCAATTACATCATCTTGGACGCAGCGTTTATCTTCATTTCGGCCGCCTCCGTAGTCTAGTGGTAGAGCGTCCGCCCGGAGAGCGGAAGGTCCGGGGTTCGATCCCCGGCCGCGTCATACCAAAAGACGTTAAAAGATGGTACTTGTTGTTACCCTGTCTGGCGCTCGACATTAAGGGGCTAAAACAAGGACTGGTCGGCTCGGAGTCAGTATACTGTGTCTGAGTGGGGTATTCATGTTAAACTGCGGCATGGTATCTCAGTGAGCAAGCACTATAAATCGGCATCAGTCCGGACTAGTACAAGCAGCCACACACACACATACACGTGCATGCACGTCGCTATATAAGTGCAATAATCTTGGACGCGACGTAAAACCCAATTTCACCTCACCTTATCTTCATTTCACCTCACCTCTATGGCTTTACGCCGCTTCTAGCAATATTCCAGCAATATCACGGTGGGGGACACAAGAAATGGGCTTTACACATTGTACCCATGTCGGGACTCGAACCCGGGCTTCGCCGTGACGACCGAACGCTTTAACCACAAGGCCCAACCCCCCCCCCCCCCTCATACCATGGAATAGACATTATGCTGACACAGGTGACAATGATGCGGGTGGCAGTAGTCACCATCCTGTGACTGTGCATTGGAGTGAGTGAGTATGGTTTTACGCCGCTTCTAGCAATATTCCAGCAATATCACGGCGGGGGACACCAGAAATGGGCTTTACACATTGTACCCATGTCGGGACTCGAACCCGGGTCTTCGGCGTGACGACCGAACGCTTTAACCACTAGGCTACCCCACCGCCCCATGTGAAATGGAACTAACCCTCACCATGTATACGTTGTTAGACCTGTGCCTCAACCCCTAACGATACAGTTGTGTTACCTCTACAAGAACATTGGCTTTACAAAACTATTAAGGATAGCTTTGATGTATTGTCATCTTATAAGCTAGTTCATTATAAATGTGAAAATAATATGAACGACATAAGAGGATTTGGTGAAAATGCTATTCTTGCGACCAATGAAACCGGGAATGTTATTATTCTAGGACATCCAAATTCAGATATTAGTGAAGATCCGGGTTAGAATGGGTCTTCAGCAACCCGTTCTTGTCGTAAAAGGCGACTATGCTTGTAATAAGAGGCGACTAACGGGATCAGATGGTCGGGCTCGCTGACTTGGTTGATGCATGTCATCGTATCCCAATTGCGTGGAGACCCGTGAAGATTCCGTGGTAGAATAGGTCTTCAGCAACCCATGCTAGCCGTAAAAGGTGACTATGCTTGTCGTAAAAGTCGACTAACGGGATCGGGTGGCCAGGTTCGCTGACTTGGTTGATGCATGTCATCGCTCCAAGTTACGTGGATCGATGCTCATGACATTTATCACTGGATTGTCTGGTTCCGACTCGATTATTTACAGACCGCCGTCATATAGCTGGAATATTGCTGAGTGCGGCGTTAAACAACAAACCAACCAACCAACCAAACCAATTGCGTGGATTGGTGCTTATGATGTGAATCACTGGATTGTCTGGTCCAAGCTCGATTATTTACGGACCGCCGTCATAAAAATCAAACGAACAAAGAAAACAAAGATATTCTAACGCAACGTGACAAGTTGTTTAGACGCTATCAATCAGCAGTGTCTGCTTAGTGGAGTGTCCAAGTCCCTGATTGACTACGCACTGCTACCATCTCACCTGAACACCTCAGTTGTTAGATGTGATTTATCATCCAAAACTGGCTCCCACAGGAGATATTGCTTGGGTAAGATCAAGCGATATCTATACTGTAGATATCGCTGCAATGAAATTGCATCACAATGCTTTGCAGACCATTGTGACGTCATTGGTTACCATGACGTCACAATCAAATGACATCACTAATGGCTCTGCTACTGAAGCTGTTAGCAGTACTTTTTACACTTAAGACACTGCTTATTACTTTCTACAAACTGAAAAAGTTGGAAGAATGATGTTGGATGATAAATAAAATCTCACCCTCGTGTCTTTTGATATCAAATATATCAACACTCGTTGATAAAAGTGGAAGCCTCGGAGTTTTCCCACTTTTATCAACTCGTGTTGATATATTTGATATCAAAAGACACGAGGGTGAGATTCTCTATGTGTTAGATAGTTGTACTTATGTTTGAGATCACGTGCCTTGCCACGTGCCACTCTTCCGTACGGAATCTCGTACTCCTGTTGTCATTAAGAAACCTTAGGACCACAATGGCTTACATAATAATCACTATGAAATGAGAGTTACCAGAAGACTTTTGTGTTCTGATAGTAAGTAAATCTACTACATATGTGAAATATATAATCACTAAAAGCGAGTGTAGAGTGTATAGTAACGAGGTGAGAAATGAGTCCGCAGCCCCGTGAAGCAGATATAAATATATTTTCTTTTTTTTCTTTTATTGAAAAATTTTATCTTTAAAAAAAACCTTATTTATGAAAACATTCAATAAGTTTTCTACAGGTAGATAAGGACTATTTGACAAGGATGTTATTTATGATCGTCAAAAGGAAGTATAGTAACGAGGTGAGAAATGAGTCAGCACAGTCCCGTGAGGCAGATGTAAATCTATTTTTTGATAAAACTGTGAAGAAACGAAAACGGCAATATCGATATAGAACTAAGGTGCGTCACCGTGATCAAACAAATCATCAGCCTGGGAGAAAAAGGTCAAGAAGCAAATCGAAGAACATCATGACTCGGAGTAGACCCGGACCTACACCATTTTTCAAAAATACACAACAAAATCAAACCTCACAAAGCATGGAAAGTTGCTAAGCATTGGCCCTTACTAAACGACTCCTGCAAATTTGTTGTGGACATGTGCGCACTCTGGCGGCCAGGCAAAGTACATGGTCACTGCGAACGTTGTGACAAAGGGTATAATGATCTTCTGGTCCATATGATATGCCACTGCAGAACATCAGAATTCATCAGGGATCGTATGTGGTGTGAAATTGTCAACTGTTGTCCAGTAGAATTGAGTGTTACCTTACACTCCATGTGTGGCGTTGACCTAGTGTGCAGTCTGCTGTCATGCACACCTCCTGTACAAGCGAGTGAAGAAGACAATGAGCTGTTTGCAAGAACTGTGATCCAGAACATACACCAACTATGTTTGACACTATATCCTGACCCTTAACCTAATCCTGCTATTTCTCTTGTTAATATCTGTATAACCGTAATGAATTGCATGTAACTCTCCTATGGAATAAAGATGATAATAATAATAATAATATGTCACACATGATACAGGCCCAGGGGATCAAGGGCAATCAGAATGATGATCAAACTGATATAGATGAAGAGTTACACACAAGATTAGATCCTAGAGAAATGCCCTTACATACAGTCTGTGGAAAAATAAAAGTCTAGGTCCAGTTAACTATGCAATGCATCTTTGTTGTTTGCAAGCAGTTATCTTCTCGCGAAACTTTCCAGTTTTCTTAACATTTCTCAAAAAGGAATATCTCCCAAACACCTACAGACATGGGATGGTAATCTCGATTTATAAGGGTAAAAAAGATCAGTCAGATCCTAAAAACGACAGGGTCGTCATTATAACATCATGTGTAGAAACACTATTTGAAAAAGTAATTTTTCAACGATAGATAGAGTTGTGTACTCTTCGTTGCTCTTTCTTGTTTTTATAAGTGATATTATTGTATATAGATAAACATTTCAGTTGTTATGCTCGCTGATGACAATGTTTTAGTCCGCGCTCCAGTATCAAATCAAATAAGAAAATCCTATAGTTGGAAGCGTCAAACACACCTACAGTAAACTACGGTTATAACGAACACGCTTATTGCGAACTGACGGACATAATGAACTTACATTTTTGGTCCCGACTATTTGCTGCAGTTATACTGTATATATGCTTATAACGAACTACGGTTATAACGAACTAAATTAGTAGTCCCTTTGAGTTAGTTATAACCGTAGTTCGTTATAAGCGTAGTTCGTTATAACCGTAGTTCGTTATAACCGTAGTTCGCTATAACCGTAGTTTACTGTATCTGATTCATAAGGCAGGAGACGCCTTCAAAAGGTTGATACCATGGTCACCCCCTACATAAACAGACTGCTCACAGAACTTAAATTTTAACTTAAACATTAATATGAGTTAGACAACGCGTCATTCAAAACTGGACTTTTCCTGACAAAGACTTATTTTATGAATTTCGATACCATGTCTAGGGGAATCACAGACTGATAGCTATAGATTCTATCTGTATATTCACCTAAGATACAAAACACTTTTACATCAGACTTTCTGCGTCCCTGGAGCTATTTGACTCCAGTCTGCACAACACAGTACGGCACCATCATGCTATCGGGTGGTCAAGCTCGCTGACTTGGTTGAAGCATGTCATCGACCCCAATTGCGTGGATCGATGCTCATGATATCAATCACTGGATTGTCTGGTCCAGACTCGATTATTTACAGACCGCCGTCATATAGCTGGAATATTGCTGAGTGCGGCGTAACACAACAGACAAACCAACCAACCGTAGTGCTAACCCACTGAGATACTACACCGCTGTTCATAATATATAAGTAGACCTAACATTATGTCAGTCGCGCTATGACGCAATATTGTGAAGTCATCAAGGGAAGCTACTTGAAATCAATTGTGATTCGTCCTTCTCTCTCTTATTGTCAGTGTTGAAGGTTACACACTACTGAACCTATTCAATACTTAATACGAGTAAGTTTCTGGTGTCCACGATCGTGATATTGTTGGAATACTGCTAAAATCAGCGTAAAATCCTCACTCACTGAATACAACCATGGATAAGAAATAGGTCTGAGAATCCACAGAGATCTGGAGAACCATCCACCGATTTTAGAATCCAATACGGATTTCAAAATTCACCACACATTTGAGAAGCCAAAAACAATAAGAGATTCCAAAGTTAAGAATCCACCACAGATCTGAGATTCCACAACAGATCTGACTTGAACCTGCGTGCTCTGAATAACTAGGCAAAGTTGAGGGTAATGAACACACAATTACAGTGAACTACATAGTTGAAGATGTAACCTACCTTCCGTGCATTGAATGACGCCACCACAACACACCACGAACAAAGTGGCCAAGTTATGTCTCCAAACCATCGCGATCATGGTCCGGCAAACAAGCGGACATACGACATTCTGAGAACGGCACAAACACAATGTCACGACAACATATCTGCTGGAAGCTTAGTGCGGGAAGCAATGGCATAATACGCTAATTACCCTAATTTAGATGTCGTTAACGTACATAGTTAGAACGTGAAAGTTCGCACATAGCAGGAGAATAGTGGCCCTGCGAGCACTGTGAGTCAGAAGACGCGGTGGTAAAGCCGCATGCTCATTACGGCAATTATTGACTGAAGTCATTTTCATTCAGGAGTCGACATTTAACAAGGATTTTACATAGCGTTGTGTTGTGGTGGTGATATATTTGAACACAACTCCTATATACCCCCCAACGCTGTATCGCGTTAAATGGATGGTGGATCAGTTTTCAAAGACGCCGCAATTTGCGGTGCACCGATACGTCCTTTAGGTGTGCTAGAAACCTGTGACTATGCCAGATTCCACCCGATTATAGGTATAAACATCTGGGACCCGTTCCACGAAGCCATCTTAGCGCTAAGGTGATCGTAACTCCCATACTTTAACACTGGCTTACGATAGTCATAGCGCTAAGATCGGTTTCAGGAACGGGGCCTTGGCGTACGTAAGACAACGTGACCATGTTGTGCCGCCAGCACATATGTCCTGTTCTTTACAGGGTTCTTATTCAGTCGAATTTTCTCCATGAGTTGAAATTTCGTCTCATATGGTCTGAAGTCGACAATGTCATATATTCCTGTATGGTCGCCTTCAGACTACCCATGGTTTGGGCGACAGCATCTGATTCGTTATATTAACTGGCGTTATCCATGACAATGACGCTGACGTTGTTTAAAATGGGCAATAGCTGAAGTTCAAACCAGTCTATGAACACATCACCTCCTATAATTTCCTTATGAAAATCACCACTTTTCTTTTTCACCTCGAAAACTAGCACACATCCATCAATAAACCCCATATCATGGGTTGCAGCGTTCACAACGATGACACGATTACCCTTACCTGATGGTACCATGGGTGTTTTTTGTCCATCTGCTCGATAGCCACATGTAGTCAGTGGAATGATTCATCAAGGTAAATTATCTGGACGCCCTGACTGTGATAGTTATGAATAGTTCGGGGATAATGTGGCCTCATAGACAGGATGGAATATTTTCCCCTGAAAAGTGCTCGGTCATCGCCACGCGCAGTGTATCGAAATCCCATCTTTTGGAGAGCAATAGTGAGTGCAGTTGACATTACTTGTATCTTTGAGACCACCTCTATACCTCTATACCTGTTTTGTTTTATTTATCATACCGTCGACTTGATGGTATGAATTGAAAACCCAATAATTTTTGCCAGTTCGGTAATTCACCCTATCTAAATTAATAAATTGTTTTTCTCTATCTCTCTAAAGTGTAAACGACTTGTATACATTTCCCAGTACAGACTCCATATCGTGTACCTTGGTTATGGCTATGCAAGTGTAATGTAACATGCATCATGGGAGCAATGTTACCGTAACACAGCGTCATGTTGTCATTTTAGAAAATGCATATCTAGAATTTTCTCAAAATGATTTTTGGGTGTGGATTAGATGTTTTATGAAGATTACATTATTATCATTTGAACGGAGTCACGAGCGCATATTTCTATAGTCCGTTTCAGACTGCCATCATTGGACTTGAATAAATGTAAACTTCCTGTTTTCGTTCGAATTTGTCTCCTCTAAATTTGTCGATAGGACTCCTGGTGACTGAAATACTTCAAACCACAGGGAGGTCGATCGGTAGTTACTTGATATTTCAAAAACAACAGTCTGTAGAAAATTACATCCTTTTTTAGCAGGCAAAAAGCAGTTTTCTAGTATTTCCGACAGTACTTACGTAAATCAATGCGACATATGATTTTCACACCTGCAATGAATTGAAGGATTGACGACACACGCGGCCGGATGTGTGAACTGCATTCGATTGGTCTATGATATTGGCCACGCCCTCGCCCTCTCCCTCTCCCTCGCCCACGCCCACGCCCATGCCCACGCCGCATTACCCGAGCTTCCGTCACAGGCTTTATAAAGAAGCGTGTGTCTTCAATTCTATCGTTCAGAAGTGAAATCCTTCTACAAACAGGACATTTCGATCAGAGAAGGTAGCGCGGGAGCCTACAGTTCTCAAGATGTCGTTTGTTCTGCCAGCCGATTTGAAAATGGGAGATTTTACTGTTGATGAAGATTGCAGTGTTGTGCTGTGTGCAGCTGCAAGTTGCCGGGATGTTGTTGAAACTCAACTCGTTCGGAAAACAAGTCTTCATTTTGATGGACTTTACGAGAAAGCTGAAAACTTCACTCAGCCGAAATGAGTTGCATCGCATGAGCCCAGAACCACGAGAAACTCGAGAAACTCAAGAATTTTCAAGCTGAACACCTGACAGTGTTTTCTACGACAAATTCCACGAAAGAAACATCTGAAGAATTTCTATGATTTCATATGTGACAATTCTCGGTTTCAAGGCAGACCCAGCGACAACAGTGCAATAATCAAACGACTTTGAATGAACCCACAAACGTGCGCATGTAGCAATGTGTCCTTCAGAATCAATTCTGTTCAGACGTTTTGATTTCATGTGTTCCAGAATTCTTTTAGAATTGTTTTGGATTTGGATTTTAATGCCACATTATAAAATCATCTTATATTTGCATTTTAATGATGAATATATTTCTTAAATTAATAAATTCATGTTCACCTTATATGAATCTTTTTCTTGTTCTTGATATTGGGCGTATTTGGGATTTTTCGAAATGAACGAAGTCACATTCCAAATGCCCCGCAGCGTTACATGATCGTTTATCTTGTTGAATAGCATTTGCCGTTAATCTTCCATGCCTTAAAATTTATGGGCCATAAAAAGCTTAGACTTGCCTATTTATGTTTTTTGCGAATCATTTACCAGACCACGGAATCACGCATACGGTGAATCCATCAGTTAGCCGACCCGTGAAGATCCTGGATAAAACCCATGCTTGCCGTAAAAGGCAACTAACGGGATCGGGTGGTCAGGCTAGATGACTTGGATGAAGCATGTCATCGATCCCCATTGCATGGATCGATGCTCATGAAGTCAATCACGTCCTACACCTGCATCTCATCGGCTAACTCTCTCGCTCTCTCTCACTCTCTCTCGCTCTCTCTCGTTCTCTCTGCCTCTCTCTCGCTCTCTGTCTCTCTCTCTATCTGTCTGTCTCTCTCGCTCTTTCTCTCATCGTCCCTCTCGCTCTCGCTCTCTCGTTCTCTCGCTCTCTCTCACTCTCTCTCTCTCGCTCTCTCTGCCTCTCTCTCGCTCTCTGTCTCTCTTTCTATCTGTCTGTCTCTCTCGCTCTCTCTCTCTCTCTCTCTCTCTCTCTGCCTCTCTCTCTCTCTGAATGTCTGCCTCTCTCGCTGTCAGCACCATACCCGTGCTCGTGGGTTTCACCAAAGTGGTCAACGTGAGCCCAGCTTATCTGTGTGTGTGCCTCTCTCTCTCTCGCTCTCTCTGTGCCTCTCTCTCTCTCTCGCTCTCTCTGTGTGTCTCTGTCTCTATGTCTGTCTCTCTCGCTCTCTCTCACTCTCTCTTTCACCGTATCTCTCTCTCTCTCTCTCTCTCTCTCTCTCTCTCTCTCTGAATGTCTGTCTCTCTCGCTGTCAGCACCACACCCGTGCTCGTGGGTTTCACCAAAGTGATCAACGTTTGAGACCTGCATCACTTCGAGCTTTCCTCCCACATTAAGCTGACACACCTGATATAACAAGAATACTGCTAAAAACGGCGTTAAACCCAACTCACTCACTCAATCTTTCCGGCGGATACTCGTTTATGTGACACCGACAGTATCACGTCAATAGGATTAAGTGAAGCGTAATTAAAATCCTCCCAACTATCGATACCTACCCAGCATCCCTTGTATGTATACGAGTGACTGGACGTTGTATGGCGCACTCACAGGATCTGGCACTTGTTTGAATGCCAGAAACTGCACTTAACTACAATATCCCCACTTACACCGAGATGCGAATAAAAGGCGACTTGCTTGTCGTAAAAGGCGACTAACGGGATCGGGTGGTCAGGCTCGCTGACTTGGTTGAAGCATGTCGTCGATCCCCATTGCATGGATCGATGGTCATGAAGTCAATCACGTCCTACACCTGCATCTCATCGGTTCACTCTCTCGCTCTCACTCTCTCGTTCTCTCTCACTCTCTCTCTCTCATCGTCTCTCTCGCTCTCTCTCTGCCTCTCTCTCCCTCTCTGTCTCCCTCTCTATCTGTCTTTCTCTCTAGCTCTCTCTCTTTCTCATCGTCCCTCTCTCGCTCTCTCACTCTCTCTCACCGTCTCTCACTTTCGCGCTCTCTGTCTCTCTCTCTCTGTCTCTCTCTCGCTCTCTCACTCTCTCTCACCGTCTCTCTCTCTATGTCTCTCTCTCTCGCTCTCACTCTCGCTCTCTCTGTCTCTCTCTCGCTCTCACTCTCTCACCCTCTCTCTCTCTCGCTCGCTCTCTCTCTCTCTTGCTCTCTCTCTCTCTCTCTCTCTCTCTCTCTCTGAATGTCCGTCTCTCTCACTGTCAGCACCATACCCGTGCTCGTGGGTTTCACCAAAGTTACACTGAGATATGAATAAGTAGTACTTAAGGTACACGTAGCGCCATGTGTTGTTTTATGCCGCATTCAGAAATGTTTCAGCTGCACCACTTACGCGTGTGAATATCGAACCTGGATCAGACAAACTAGGGGTTGATGCCATGAGCAAAGTATCACGGCGTTGGAGTACGATGACAGCAATCACACACATGCCCGATGGTGGTAATACTGTTGACGTTAATCAACAAATACTTTGAAACGATAAATAAATACTAAGTTTATTGCTTCATAATTAACCCTAATGTGTGTGTGTATTTTAGCTAATTGGAACTGTGTGAATTACCGAAGGGACGGGGTAGCCTTATTTAAAGCGTTCAGTCACCACGTCGAATGTCACTTGCGTGGATCGATGCTCATGATGTCTATCACTGGATTGTCTGGTCCAGACTCGATTATTTACAGACCGGCGTCA